TCAACTCATGGATCCGGAAGCAAGAACAAAACCTATTGTTAGCATGCTAGAAGACATAAGGTTGAAGGCAATGAAAAGGATATCTGAATTCCAAGACAGTCAAGAGAAATGGATAAATGAATGGTCTCCTACATGCATCGAATACTATCAAGACAACAAGGAGGCTGCAACACGATGCACTATAATATTCAATGGTGATATGGGGTTTGAGATAGGTGAGGGAGCTGACAAACACTTAACACTCTGTCGTTTTGGATAAGCTGGTCTGTACTTGTAGAGCATGGGAACTTACAGGAATACCATGTCTACACGCCATATGTGCTTTGTACCATAAGAAGTTAGATCCCATGTCATTCATTTCCAAGTGGTATCACAAAACAACATACAAGGCAGCATATCGGCATTATTTGCAACCGGTTCCAGGTAAAGCTTTCATGAAGGTGGACGACTATGAACCAATTGAACCTCCCCCAGTTCCAAACTTACCAGGAAGACCTAAAAAAACAGAGTGAGGTCATCCAATGAGGGCAAACCATCTTCAAGTACTTCAAACCAACAACCTGTCACATCTCAGAAACCATCAGGAAGAGGGCAAGTTCAAACTTGTGGCCTCTGTCATAAAGAGGGGCATAAAAGGGCTAAATGTCCAAATAAAGATTCATGTGTAAGTGTTAATGTCAGTTGCTACTTAATGTCATTTTGTTAAGAATTTACCTATACGTTTCATGTATTAGGCAAATGAAGAGCAAAGTGCAAGTCAAGGTGTGAAAAGAAGAGCTACTGAGCCTATTACTCCTGCAGTTACACCACCTTCAATTCCAAGGGAGAAATCAACTACTCTCAACAGGCCCTCAAAACTGAAAGCATGAAGAATAGCTAGAAACAAAAGCCTTAACAGTGTTACTGGTTTTTGTTGCTATGTTGATGTTAATACTGGAGCAAAGACTGTAAATGTGAGTAGTTGTTAAGTAATACAGGAGTATTTTATATTCTTGGTTGTGCATATAGGTCGCTTGTTGTAATATCAGATTTATTAGGTTGATTTTTCTTATACCTATTTGTTTTATGTAGCCTGGGATGACTAGTGAACATGTTGTTTCTGAGGTGCTGTTATGCCACATGATGCTTATGTCACAGTTAGATTTGCAATTCCTAATGAGAAGGAAATAAGAGCTGCTTCCAGGAATCAGAAAAGTGTGAATGAGCCAAGATACAGACAAATAGCTTTTAAGGGTGATGGAGCACAAGTACAACAGCCCACCAACCTACCTTTCAAACCCCCTGGTTTACGATGGAAGGGTAGCCCACCTGTCACATGAGGCCAATTGAGAGAGAAGCTGCAAAGGAGGAGGGACCCTATCATTAAGTGATGCTCAACCAAGACTTTAATTATCATGTATAAGTACTTGTTTAGGTGTTTAAGTAGTTTAAAAAACTGGTAGCCTTTCCAACCACCTGGTTTGGATTCAATGTGCTAGCTGTCACCTTTTTTGTTTTAGGCAGGTGGCAGCAATGGTTTTTTTGCTTTACATTTCAGTCTTAGAACAAAGGTCCTCTATCAGGCGTACAAGTGCTATCTGAGAGGTTAAATTTTTTTGGATTTTGTAACACCAATACAATGGTTTTGGATGGTTGGTTTATATGAAGCTAAGTTTTATAACCAATTGTTGTTCTGTTTTACTGTGTGAACTCTTCAAAGTTATGTTGAATGTGGAAACTTGCAATGCTTTATATTCTTGCACAACATCTTGTGGATATGTTTTGTCAAAATCAATTTTCATCACCTCTTTCAACTTGGAATGGGCTGTACTTATAGTAGTTTGTTGCATAACCCCAAGTATTAGTCTGTTTTAGATCTTCTTCACATATTTGTAAGTTATAATTGGTACATGGCACTTATCACATCAGTCCATACACATTAACACCCACACATGCACCCAAACACATTCAAACATACACATTCACATATACATATACCATTTGCACATTCTGGTTCATAAATCTGAAATATCCAAATTGGTACTCATCTGCTTACAATATCAGAATGCATTCTTAAAACAAAATTACAACACCATAAGGTACTCTACTGTTCTACCTAAGTTAACATACATATCAGTGCACCTATGACACACAACAACAGTACAACTAAGATCTTCCTCATTGTCTTCCTTTCCCTTTCCAATTTCAGAACCTCAGCATTCTTCCTACTATGACATTGCAAGCTTTGATCTGAAGTATGAAATTCACAACGTGAAGTATTAAATTCATGCCCTGCAGTGTCATCAAACATCCCCCCTGTGCCATTTTGTTCACATATTGCACTCCTTAGTCTTTTGTTCTCCCATTTCAGCTGACTTATCACATCTTTCGGCCTATTTGTGAATTGCTCATCATGCTATTGAAAGAAACCACACTCTTCCTTCTACAGTACAAAGCACAAATATTAAATCCAGTCAGCTATACAAACAACACCATCATTTTACAGAAATACCTCATAATATGGACATCCGTAGAATCATCTCCCTGGATTTTTGTCAGTCCATGAGGTCCAAAGTCTAGCTTATGTAACCATTCCATTCATGTTTCTGCATTTACAGTAGGCGGAACGAATAGGACTTCCACTTCCACATTCTAAATTGCTTTGCTTCTTCACTGATTCAACGGAGAAAGACGTTGATTTCTCTTCTCCCATCCACCTCGAACGAGAACCTCCATCAGCCATTTATGTGTTGTGTTGTTTTACGCTCAGGCGACCATGGGAGTGGTTGTTCGTTTTTATTAGGGTTGCAGAGGAGTTGTTGGGTAGCGTTTAATTGGGGGAAGATGGGGGTCTTAACGCCAGTTGGACGGCGCGGTTAGGGAGTGGCCAAATGTAACGCTAATACTCGACTTATGTGTTTAAATGGTCCATTTTAAACCTTGGTGTCCAATCCGAGATTACTAAATAACGTTAGTGTCATTTTTGGTCATTTTTGGTCCTTTTCCCTTTACTAAACATGCGGCACCACTTCAAAGTACTAACGTTAGTTTCATAATTGGTAGATTTTTATTTGCAAAAAAAAAAATGGTAGATTTTGACTCATTTTAACGAGTGCAAATCTTGAGAGGTTTAACAAGATTTTAAAATGCTTATTTTAGTAAATTACAATTTTCAATCGACATATATTAGAAAAAACCTTTCCAGCCATTTACATCACACAATATTCTTAGCATTTTTCTCAAAAATAAAAAACATTCTCAGCGGTTTTCATTCGTCATATGTTGTGATCGTAGATTTATTGATTTAGTTTTTTTAATCATCAAAACCGAAAACTTTATTAAGTCAATAAATCGTTAGCCAAATGGCTAGAAATACAATCCGGCGCAAAAACATAATCAACGGACTGATCTGAGATATACACATGTGACTTAGCTAAAGCATGAGCCACATGATTCGTAGACTTTTTACAAAAAGAGATTTTAAAGTTACTCTTTGTTTCTAACAAACTCCGGATATCATGATTTTCCTTAAGTAGGACTAAAAATTAAATTTCTACCCCTAATTTAATTAATTAATAACATTAATTGCTCGTAGTTTTCTTGCATAACCAAAGTCATTTTGTTGGTGGCAGATCAGTTCGATGACAACGGAGGGGAACTCCGGTGACGGAGGCAGACAAGCAGATCGGTAGTGGCGATCTAGGTGAAAATTCGTATGACCGGCAGTGACGGTCCGAATTTAAAAGTCAACAAACTTTCTGAAAGTCTATAAACTTATCCATGAATTTAAAAGTGTATAGAATTCATTCATAAAAAGGGCTATGAATTTAAGAAACCACTGACTTTTTTTAAAGTCCATGGACTAAATCTATTTACACGATATTCAATACAAGTCCACCACAATCCGAATCCATGAATCCATATTCATTAAAATAAATCTAATTACACGATATTCATAATCCATAATGTGCTGGGGCGGATGGAGGGAGGCCTAGGGACCCCTGGACCATGGCATTCTTTTTTGTATTATACTCCCTCCATATCACTTTAGTTGTTCCAGTTTTCCTTTTGGGACGTATCAATTTAATTGTTCCATTTCCTTTTTGAAAGACCCCTCCAAAAAAGCAACTACAATATCGTTTCAGTATCAAAAATATCTTACTTTTCATAAAGTCTATAGTACTCCCTCCGTCCAGCTAGAAGGTTCTTGTTGACGGTTAACGATGCTTGACTGACGATAAAACAACTTAATCCTTGTTAATACTTTGATTATTTTTAGTAAATAAAATTTACATATTCAGAAACTACATTAAGAGCCCGTTTGGAGAACTCTGTTTTCGGCTTATCAGGCTTATCAGCCAGCTTTTTCACCAAACACGTAACTTTTACTTTCGCGCGCTGAATTGTGTAATAAGCCGAAAAAGTAAGGTTGGAGTTACTTTTCTGGCTGTATTGGTTGAAGTTACTGTAGAGGACCATTTTAGCTATTTTTACATATAATTTTTTCTTTAATTTATTAATAAAATATATTTTTAAAATATTTTTTTCTTAAATCAGCAGAATCAGCCAAAACAGCCACTCCAGCCAGAATATCATAAATTTCAGCAGAATCAGCCAAAACAGCCGATTTTGGTGCTACCAAACGGGCTCTAAAACCGCTACAAAGCTTGATAAAAAATGTAAATTTGATAAAAAGTTGATTTATAAAGTAAAAGATTAAAAATGATTTAAATTTACCATGCGAATAGTGGACGAGAACCTTCTAATGGGACGGAAGTAGTAATAAATACTACTTCCGTTCTTAAATAAGTGCAACAATCAGCATTTCTCATTTGCCGAAACACAACTTTGACTATTAATATATGTAACTCTCTATTAGTAAAAAATTAAAAAAAAAACAGATTTTGAAAATATCTGGGCCAGTGTTGACCTCAATGAGCGCAGTAGAGGTCGGGTGAATTGGACGCAGCTCACGCGCGCCCCAGGACTCCACTGGCCACACCGCTCGCAGCTCTCCCTCTCCGCGGCTTGCATCGCTGGAGTCCTCACGCCCCCTTCTGCTGCGCCTGATCGCCTGCTCTGCTGCGCAGATTCTCTGGAGTCTCGACTCAGGTAAGTTTTTTTGTTTTCTTTTTATAATTTTTATTTTAATTGTATTTAGTTTGTTTAGAGACTTAGTGTGTTAGTGAAAAATGTTACTTTAATTCATATGTGTTACTCCGTATTTGTTATTTTAGTTTGTGTAACTGTGTTAGTGACTTAGGAAGAGTTTGCGATTGTTTCTACCTTAAAAAAATTTTAAGCGATTTTGAAAAAGTACTTAATAAAGTTGGTAGGCTTTGAGTAAAAATTGATTTTGAAAAGTAAAAGTTGGTAGTGTTCGGTAAAATATGTACCTTTTTTGTGTAATACTATATAAAAAGCATTTTGTAGCTTTTTAGCTTTAAAGTATTAATTTAAGAAGTTGTCACCTGAAAACACCCATTTCAAGTTTTTAAGCCAAAATATGAAAATCACTTTTTTAATTGTTTGCAAACATACCCTTATTGTGTCATTTAATTCATTTGTGTGTTTCGAATTGTGTCTAAAATATAATTGTGACTAAAATATTGATTAGTTGTGTATATTTTTGCTAATTTAATAGCCTAGTAGGTATGACTACTCAATCTACTTACAAAAATGTAAAAACTACAATGCATTTTATAAGCCAAGTACAAGTACACAAAATAGACAAGAGTTAAATGTCTCAATTGAAACTCCAAATATCTCATCCGCTCAAGAGGAAGTAGTTTCTGATGCACCTGTAATTGCGCGGGATCAGGAAAAGCGTAAAAGATTAGTGATTGGGCGTTAGAGAAAAGAACTTTACAAAGGCCAAGAACACAAAGATAAGATTGAGTTTCAATTTTATGAACCTCACGTAGTTCAAAATTCTCACTTTCAAGTTCATTCTCTTGTGAAGTTGATTGAAGAGTTGGTCAAATCTAGAAACACATAACAATTGAAAATGGTTATAAGATTAATTCATCTTGTACCTACTTTACTTGTTTCTACTGCAACAACATAAAGATCATTTTCTGCAATGAAACACGTGAAGAGTGAAATTCGTAACAAGATGAATGATGAATTTCTTGCCGATCGTTTGACCATCTTTATTGAAAAAGAATTTGCCAACAAAATCGATGTTGAGTGTGTCATAGATGAGTTTGCTAAGGTCAAAGAACGTCGTGCTCAGTTAACGTTTTAGTTTCAAATATTGTATGTACTGTTTAAAAATATTATTATGAAATTTAATGGATGTTAATCACTATGTTCACACTATGTATGCTTTTAAAATTTTACATAGCGTTTTTAGTTTATAGTCCCCCCCCCCCCCCCCCCCCCCCCCGAACATCTGTCCTGGCTATGCTCTTGAAAGTGTGACCTGCTATTTGTGAAACATGTGACCAAGTTATAGTGAAATTCTCCCCTTGAAAAATATGCCATTCTGTAAGACTAACTTTTATTTTTCTGGGTTCTTAAAAGAACCAGTCTGCAGTCTTTACCTGTGTATTCTATAACAGAATATACAGTTTTCATATAAAGAATAATGTGGTTTGAACTTTAGCTTCGCTTTTTTCAAAACATTGATGCTTGCCTAGTTGGTTGATTATTTATATATTTTCTCTCTCCGCGTATCTAAAAATAAGAACTCGAAGCATAAGGTGGTAATAAATTTTGAGACGAGTTATATCATGTATGAGTTACATCTTCTCCAAACCGATTGAGGTTTGTGGAGCTCTACAAGTGTAGCTATAAACTTGGAACTAAACTGAACCAAAGGCTGAACATTATCTGTGCCTAGTTCTACAAAAAACAGCCTCAAGTAAATGACTATTGCACGGATGAGTTAACTCACATGTTGTTGTTTTTATTATTCATTTTAGTTATCAATAAAATATTTTGTTCTACAGTTCTGCAATATTTCAGGGATGTGATCAAGTCATTTAAGTAATTTTTTTTAACACAGGTTCAGAGAAGCCTCCCTTGGAGTTAGTCTGAAAGAATGCCCATTAAAAGGTGAGTCTTGTCTCTTGATTAACCATAGTGCAAAGTTTTGGAGGAGTTTTGTAGTGCAGTCATAATTTTGTATAGAATGACAATTACCTTGTAGAGCGTTCCTCTAGAATTTTACAGAGAACTTTGTAACAGCTCTCTTAACAAACCCTTCCCAAATGAGAATTTAGTTCTCACTATAATTGTTTTTTTAATTCGTGTTCTCATTCTTTTTAAAAACCTGATCAGGTTGAGAAAAGCAAATATTAGAATTGATCCATTTCAGCCTGAGCAGAGTTAAAGTGTAACACTTAATTGATTGAGCCTAAGCATTATGAAGTTTGTAAGTCTCTCACTCTCTCCACTCTCAAGCATTACTTTTGATGTTTCTGCCAGGCATAAAGTTAATCTTATTGTGCCCTCCATCTGTGTGCAGACATGTTTGAGCAAGGGTCAGGGTTATCATTTCCCTCCTTGCCACTTTCTCAATGTTTGTGGTTTCCAGGTGTTATTTGATTGCCCTTTGGACCTTTCATCTCTTTCAATTTTCTCTCCACTGCCAACTGATCCACCTTTCTTGAGTGATGGCACAAGTTTAATACACGCAGAACCGTGGTATAAAACTGTTGAAAGGCTAAACCTTATAAATAAATCCTTCATAGATGTTGTGTTGATCACAAGTCCAATGGGCTTACTTGGGCTACCATATCTCACTCGTGAAAAAGACTTTTCTGCAAAGGTAAGTGTAAATTGAACTTCTAATGCAGTTAAATTGTCCGTTATCCCTATGGCAAATGCCCAATGGTTAAAAAAGAATTATTTGGTGTTGCTGTGTATTCAGATTTATGCAACAGAAGCTGCTGCTAGACTTGGTCAACTAATAATGCAGGACCTTGTTGCTATCCACATGGAGATGAGACAATTCTATGGGGTCGAAGAGGCTTGTTTTCCAGAATTGATGAATTGGGAAAAACTTGAGTTGCTTCCCTTGGAACTAAAGGAGATTGTTTTGGGCAAGCATGCAACAGGTCTTGCTGGGTGGATGCAATTGTACAGGTAATAGTAAGTCATTTACTTAATGTAAAAATTATGTACTCCATCCCTCCCATTATTTCCTTTCCTTTTTCCTTTCTGGGGTGTTCCAAAATTTTCTTCCTATTTAAGGGAATTTTTTCCGGTTGCTATTGTTTCTCTCACTGCCTGTTAGATTAAACACAACCATTTAATTCACTTTCACAAGATAAGCATGCCAAACCAAAATGAGAAGAGAATTTTAGAACCCATGAAGTACTTTCTTCACCTCTCTTCGTTGCTCTTTGAAGTGGTTTGATTGGGACTTGTAGGGTTGCAGTAATTCGTTTTACATACTGTATCAATTTTTTGTCATTTCATTCAAGTCTTTCATGCTTGTAATAATATTTTAATGCCAAAAACTTTTTTTGGATGACCTAAAATGCTTGCCATAAATCTTCAAACCAAACCAAATGCCCAATTAATCAGTTTTCCATGTCTAATTACAATTTTCTTTTCTTTTTTACTGAAATATACAAATAAGGCAACCCATTTGTTGAATTGCTGGTGTTTATGTTTGAGAATCTGAACTGTAGACCTTTTTAGTGCGGCTGAAGTCAAGAGTTGCATAGAGAAGGTTCATTGTCTTAAATACGCTGAAGAATCCTGCTACAATGGAACCTTAACCTTAAAAGCATTCAGTTCTGGTTTAGAAGTTGGTGCTTGTAATTGGACCATTGTCAGCCCAAAAGGAAGCATCACATATCTTTCAGGATCTATTTTTTCTTCAGAAACTGCAATGAGTTTTGATTACATTTCACTTCAGAAAAGTGATGTGTTGTTATACTCTGGCTATGCACCTTCAGATATTGACAATGTGGATGGTGACAACTGTTTCTCCTCTCCAGCTAAGAATGATTCCTCCTATCCAAGGTACCGCCTACAGGGAATATGTTTGTATGCGCAAGTTTGTGTGTGTGTTTGTGTGTGCAATCCGTCCATTCCTATTCAGCTATCCAACCTTTTGAGAGTTTGTGTCCCATTTTATCTGTCCACTTAGAAAAAAGTACTTCGTATATGGTATATTCATCATTTCATACCAATTTTATCCTTGAGACTCTATTACTCAATAAAGTTTTTTTTGACTTGATAAGATAAGTTGTAACCTATTTATAATTTTATTGTGATTCTTTTAATATGTGCTATTTGGATAAAGTGGACAAATAAAATGGAAGGAATATATTAAAATTTTTCTTTTATTTTTCCCTCACTCACACCGATACACTCTTCCTCTGCTCTGTTATTTTTGGATGAAATGTAAGTGTATATTAAAGATCATCCAAAGAGTTTATCTTTACAGCAAAAATCGGGAACAAAAATAAGGGCAATCCTAAGCTAGGATAACCCATCACCTCAAAAACATAGGCAACATAAGCACAAATCAGCCAAACACAAAATAGGTGATGGGCCGATGCCAAGTCTATCAAAAGGTAATGGGAAAAGTAGCAAATAAGCCCTTGAACTAACTTAAAAAGTGCAAATCACCCCTTTTATAGGAGGCTCTGTCCGGCCGTCGCCATTTGGGGCAGTTCTCGGTGGAATTTTTTTATGAACACAGTTTAATGAAGAAGATGCTCAAAATCTGAAATATACTACACTGACACACTGTTTAACTCCGCAGTAAAATTTTTTTATGAATTTTTTTCCCTTGTCGCCATCTGAAATATACTGCACTGTTTAACTACGCAGTTATCTTCAAAATTTTATTTGACTGCCTTCAGATTGAATTTTTAGCTGAAATTTGGTATGAGTAAACTAGACTTAATGAAAAAAGATGCTCAAGAAATTTCATAAAAAAAATCCACCGGGAACCGCCCCAAATGGCGACGGCTGAACAGAGCCTCCTATAAAAGGGGTGATTTGCACTTTTTAAGTTAGTTCGAGGGCTTATTTGCTACTTTTCCCAAAGGTAATCATATGGTGTGGATAAATACTACTATAGGATTTTATACACAATGTATTTAATCCTAGCAAGCACATCCTCCTTTGTTGTGTTGTTCCATCAAAACTTGTGGCATTTCGGACTCTCCAAGTCCAATTACTGAATATGCAAATGCAATCCGGGCAGCCTTGGACTTGATTCCAGCCCCAACCTTCTCCTTTTTGATCCACTTCACCGAGCTAGCCAAGGTGTTCATTTGCTGTGGCATCCCCATCCATGCCTTCACTCCTTTCCAAATTGTACCTGAAAATGAACAAGCAAAAAAGAGGTGTGGTACCGTTTCCAGTTCACCCTTGCAAAGTGGAGAAATGTTAACTAGGCCAAGACGACCTAGATTGTCTAAAGTAGCCATCGATTGCTAAATGCAAGCCACATAGTAAAAGAGAACTTAGGAGGGATGTATGGCTTCCAAATGAAGGACATCCAAGCATGAGCAATCCCTTTAGTTCGCAAAAGATCATACACTTTTGAAGATGAGAGTTTCCCATCCTCCACAAATTGGCTAAGGCAGCCTACGGCCTCCATGTTACCTCCACATTGAAGCACAATTTTATCCCGCAGAAGAGCTAATCTCTTGAAAAGTTGTGAGTCCCTACGGTGTGGGGAGAACTCCCACACATCCTTGTTATTAAGATATACCCCATGGACCCATCTCACTCATAATGTATCTTTCTTGGTATGGATATCCCGAAGTGTTTTGGACAAGAGGGCTGCATTCCAAACCTTGGTATCCCGGATACCAAGCCCACCCTCCTTTTTGGGGAGGCAAATGTCAGCCCAAGCTACACGAGAGTACTTACACCCCCATAAGAAAAAACGGCATAGAGAAGAAACTCTATCAAGGAGAGCTTGTGGTACCGGAAATACTTGGAGCCAAAAATTGGACCCCTTGTATAACGGATTTGATGAGTTCAACTCTTCCAGCATAAGAGAGAGTTTCAAGTTCCAAGCATTGAAATAGTTAGATATGGAATCTAACAAAGGTGCAAACTGTGCCACATATATCTTTAATGGTGCAATAGGAATTCCAAGATACTTAACCGGAAAGACTCCAACTTTGAAGTTCACCAAATCAAGGATATTCGTCAAGTCATTTCCTCCTACACCACCCAAGAAAATATTGGACTTGTCAAAATTAACCCGTAGACCAGAAGTTTCCGCAAATTCATTTAGGGCATTTACAAGTGTACTTATAGAGACCAAGTCCCCTTCGGGAGAATAGCATCAAGTCATCTGCATATGTCAAATGAGTGATTTTGAAAGATCCACATTTCGGGTGGAACTTGAAATCTGGTTTGTTTGTTCTGACATTTAGAAGTCTTGAAAGGTATTCTAAACAAACCAAAAACAGGAGAGGGGACATGGGGTCTCCCTGTCTCAAACCTCTCCGACCTTTAAAGTGTCCATGTAGTACCCCATTGACCGAAATGGAGAATGAAGCATTAGTAACACATTCGATAATCCATTTTACAAATTGGTTAGGAAACCCAATTTGCTAGAAGGAGGGCCATGATTTTTTCTTTTAATATCTGCGAAAACTCATCCCCCGCTCTAATATTTACTAGAAGGAGGGCCATGATTTTTTCTTTTAATATCTGCGAAAACTCATCCATTGGCAGTGACACTTTCATGGAAGACACAGAAAAGTATTTGCTTGATCCTAGTGAGTACAATGAAGAGATGGAAAAAATGAATTTTCTCTGTTCATGTGTTTTGGACTCTGTTAATGCCGGAGGATCAGTGCTTATTCCTATTGGACGACCGGGTATAATGTTGCAGCTGCTGGAGAATGTGGGGCTTTCTTTAGAGTCTTCAAATTTGAAGGTATATCCATAATAGATGAGCTTGTTTTTTAATTCTATCATTTTGTTAGATGTATAATTGTATAATCATGTATAGCAAATTTTAGGGATAGTAGGAGAGCTGTTGTACTTTACTTTATCATTTCAATGCTTCTCTGGACTTTGTAACATTCTTTCTTTTATATGATGAGATGCAAACTGCACGAGAAATTTAACCGTACCATTAACACCCTGAAATAAACTTCCCTAGGAAATAAACTTTACTAATTGGGCCACTAACCCTTCTTTCAAGAGAATATGTGCTTTAAGTTCCTTATTTTGTACTACGTAGTATTGCTTTCGTGCTACAGTAAATGCAAATATCTTGCTTCCTTGAGTATATTATATATCTAATTAGTTCTAAATTAATATATAGTTTTTGTCTATAGGTTCCCATTTTTGTTGTTTCTTCTGTAGCTAAAGAGTTATTGGCCTTTTCTAATGTTATACCAGAATGGCTGTGCAAGCGTAAACAGGACAAGGTATGATGCATGCTGGCTTTTTTTATTAAGTATGGCTTAAAATCTCGTTATAAGGGAATATAACTTGAGTCTAAATTGTCATGTATTTTGCAGTTATATGCTGGTCAACCTCTATTTTCTCATGTTGAGATGCTGAATTCCAAAAGGCTGCATGTGTTTCCTGAAATTCATTCTCCCAAGTTACTGTAAGATGAATCCTTCCTCTTTAATGGATAACATTGACTTATATAATTAGCATAACTGCATAAGAATATATTTGGGGAAATATGTTACTCTGTATTATAGTTAATATCTGTTGGTAATTTGTGTCAGTAAATTTATCATGTATCAAGAATCAACCTTATCATGACTTAGTTTTGTGCATAGAAAAATTTGGCAGGAACCTTGTGTAATATTTTGTCCACATTGGAGTCTGCGATTGGGACCTGTTGTTCATTTACTTCGCCGCTGGTGTACAAATTCGGATTCATTACTTGTTATGGAGGTCAGTTCTGGTCTACAAGTTATTACGGAGTAAATAATACCACGTTGGAGTTTTTGCATGTATATTCCTAAAGGAAAAGACAAAAACAATTCCCCCCAAAAAAAGAAAAGACAAACAAAAATATGACTATTTTCTTAAAATCTAAAAAGAAAGTGTCTATGTGTTACCGTAAGTGAAACCTATGACATGCTGCCAGCGGCAGTGATACCATCCCACACGTCATTGTGATCAGCTGCGGCAAATTCCGTTAACTTTTCGTGTTTTTTTTTGGAATCTTTTTCTTCAACCAGCAGCTGGGCAGAGGATTTGGGGAAAAAATTTGGGATAAATTTAAAGTTTTGAACTTTTGATATTATTTAGCCACTTTTTTTTGAAAATGAAAACTGGTTATATTTTTGTCTTTACAAACCCTAGAAGTAATATTGCTGCCAAATTTCCTAAATAATTTCTATATTACTACGACTTTGCTGCAGAATTTTTGACTAATTGCATGAGTTTTTTTAACTGTTTTCCAGGAAGGAGTTGATATTGATTTGGCTGTTTTGCCTTTCAAGCCAATGGAAATGAAAGTCCTAAAATGCTCTTTTCTATCTGGAATAAAGTAAGGTATTTCTCTCTCTCTCTCTGTTGAAGAAACACGTTTCTTTAATTATCAAGCTTTTATATAAGCTCTTCCAGTTGGTGAATTCTAACAGGTGCTTGTACCTTTGTAGCCTAAAGAAAGCTCCATATCTGCTGAAAGCACTGCAACCAAAGCATGTTCTGGTAATCCCATGATACACCGACACACACTGTGATCTGCTATAATTTTCTGATGGCTCTTTATTCCTTGATTTCTCCAAACATTTGTTTTGCTGTTCAATCCAGCTTCCGGAAGATCTGAGGCCACATTTTAGCCATTTGGGCCACTCTTATTCCGTTAGCTATTTCTCTGAAAACGAGACACGTGTAATACCCAAGTCACAGCAGCAGGGTTCAGAATTGTGCATTGATGTAGACCTGGCTTCACAGCTCCTCTGTTGCGCACAGCCTATGCAAGAAGGCGATAAGGAAATGGCAAGGCTAAAGGGGGAGTTGTTCTTGGAGGGTGGCAGGTATCGGTTGGTGTTTGGAAGTGATAGAACAGCATCTTCTTCTCAACGTAGACCAGTGGTTTGTTGGGGAAGAGTCAACCCTGAGTCACTTATGGCCGCTTTAAAAAAGATGGGAATCAACACAGCTACTAATACGGTTAATACTACTACTACTACTGTTTTAAAAGTCTCAGAAGAGCATAATGAAGCATTGATTGAAATTGCAGAAGATACAACCATCGTCATTGCCGCGGATGAGGATTTCGCATCCCGGATATCCAATTCGATTTGTAGCATGTTACAAAGCATTTAAAAAGGATTTCTTTTGGTAGGATTAGAGAAAAAATCATGTGATACTTATTACTGATTACTGAACTCACGTTCTCCTCATTTTAGATACTGGAAATCATCAATTGTTTTACCTGGTTAATTGTTTTGTTCTGAACCCGTTTGGTGATATGATCTCTAAAAACATATTTTTCGATTTATGTGTTTTTATTTATTTATTCAAGTCTGGGAGTTAATTATGAAAATCATTGTTATACGATGATCTATTTTCTTTTCCGGTCGAGGTATATGATGTTTTTACTTGGATTGTTTTCAGTCTCAGATTAGATCAAACTTAAACAAACTAGATCAGATCAGACTTTTGTAATCAGGGGTGGACTCGGGTCGGGCCGCCCGGCCCGGAACCGGACCGACCCGGTACTGTTTGGGCCCGGCCCGGTACCCGGTCTTGGGGATGGTTCGGGCCAACCGGAACCTGTCTAATCCCGGGGCGGGCCATTTTTTTTTTCATTTTTTTTTACTTTCTACCGGGTTGGGCTGGGTGTTTGGGGGGGGGTCGAAGGTTATTTAGAAAAAAAATTGAAAAAAAATTGAACCGGAAACTAGCCCGGCCCGGAACCGCTGGCTACCCGGGCCGGTTCCCTACTTCCCAAACAAAAGTCCGGCCGGGCCCAGGCCCGAATCGGAACCGACCCGGCCTGGGTCCACCCCTATTCCGCTATTCGTAATTATAAAATACATAGAGACTAAACATTTATCAGACCAGATCAGCAAATTACTGTACAAGTAAAAACATTCATTCATAGTAAGACAATTTTATAAATTCGGTATAATTAATTATGTTCCTCTGTAAAAAAAGGTTACTATACCAAGGACTTGGACGAAAAATAATGGAAAACGTTAAAAAGTTGACATAAATCTTGAACAAAAACACTACATTTTAAGAATTGGGATGTGCTTGATTCCAAACTCAACTGGAATGAGAACCCAACCGCTTGGAACCGCATGTTCCAAACAGATGGTGCTAATTTCTATCCAGTTTGGTTTTCCGGGTTTTTATATTACTTTTTGTTTTTATATTTAAAACCTTAGTTAATATTTTAAAAATAGATTTAGTAATAATACCTAATAAGAGTATTTGATTAAGATTTCCCAAAAAAATCAGTACAATTAATACGGAGTAATTATTATGGCTAAAACCAAGTACAATATTCAAGTATTTAATAATTAAATAGTTATAAAGTAGGTTGTATAAATCTACAAGTTACTGATTACTAAATTATGTATACTTATTACTTATATTTGTTATAATCTTTTTATAGACAGTGATGACAAAAAAGGAACAACAAATAATCATAATAATCATTATTTTATTGTTAATAAGACAACTACCACTATGATTATTACTCCATAATATTTAGTTTTATATTTTATTTCGAAAAGCGACTCGGATCAGAACTGTCCAATTTCTAACAGGAAGTCTGGAAGGGGTCAAATGCATAAATGGTACCTTAATTATTGGTATTGTTGTATTTTGGTACCTTAACTCTTAAATGAATCAAGATTGTACCTTAACTATACATAAATGTTTTCGAATTGAGATTTTATTCAAATTTTCGACAAACAAATCCTTCATGACGATTAAAATTTCATGTGTACAGTCACCCTATAGTGACCACAAGGACACAAATAAGGTGAAGTAGATTTTACACATAGAATTCTGGCTGTCACGTGTGATTTTTTGGTCGGAAATTTGAGTAATATTTCAATTCGAAACATTTATGTATAATTAAAGGCACTGTTATGATTCATTTAAGAGTTAATGTACCAAAATGTAACATTACCAATAGTTAAAGTGTCATTTATGCATTTGACGAAATGTGTAATTCGGAACAAGAACAAGCAACTATGATTCCGAATAGGATGCATACACGGTTCAAGTACTAGTTCAAAAATTGACGGTTCTGATTTAATCGAAAATCGCGGACAAATCTATTTTAGAATATAGGGAGGGCAATGGGGCGGGTTTGGGGCGGGGTACACTCCCCCATCCCTGCCCCATGTCTAAAAAGTTTGCCCCGTCCCCCGTTACTCCCAGACCCGCCCCATCCTCGCCCCACCCCGTTGTTTCCCACGGGTGCCCCATATAGATTTAATTTATCGTATTTGCATATACTTTTAATCCATTATAAATATATGTGGCACAGTTCCAATGAGAATGATGCTTAACGTGAGAACACTCACCTTTAATCCAATGTGATACAAAATAGAGCCCTTCTAGTGCCACATTTGGACTTTGCTCAATACATGCTAATATAAATAATCACGGTGACACTTTTATAAATATTATGCTTGATGCGAAAAAGTGCATTGTGCAGGTCCATTGTGCGTCACATTGGGGATAAATGTGGTTTCAACCCTTTTTGTGCCTAGCGGGTTTCGAACTCGAGACCTCCCACTAGCCACGGTAACCTCACAACCAACTGGGCTGAAATGTTTGTTAATAAAATTTAGCTTTGTTCTACGATAAATATATACGCAACCCTGAAGTATTGTATTTGTTAAAAGTTAATAACACTAATTTTAATAATTCTTCAATTTGAGTAAGTTTTGTGAATCGAAGACAATTAAAGTAAAAATATAAGTAAACATATTATCATCATGTACGTCGTTTTAAAATTCTCAACTATTATAATACAATTAATTACATATTACATTTAAATGTGTGTGTATTTATTTACTCACTCTTAAAACTCATATAACATTTATAATAAATATTTTTAATCATTACTAGCTTATTATTATTCTAGTATAATATGTATTAATTCATTAACCTTGACTAAACCGTATACAATTATAAATGTCTATATGTATATGTATATGCGTTTGTTATATACGGAGTACTGCATATAATTTAATCTAATATGTTTGTACATTATTTATATGTGTATATATATGTTTGAGTATATATTTATAACGGGAGACGGAGCGGGTGTAGCAATTCCACCCCTCACCCCATATTTTAACGGCGTAAAAATATCTCACCCATCCGGTCTCCGACCATCCCCACCCCCACCCTGTCCAAACCCCGCCCCATCCTTTCCCCACGGGGCGGTTCGCCACGGGTCCCCGCCCCCATTACCATTCTTTATTGATTAGTGATTTAGTGCAGCGATTATGTATTGACCCTACTACAGCGGGGGAAATAACCTGAACCGGTCGTTTTCTTTTCTAATTTTCAGCCATCCGATTGATTGCTTGCTATCCACGTGGTCTCATACAATTACAAACTTATGATATGAAAATTTCGCAAACCTCCTCAAAACCCTGAAAGGATAGTAAGAAAGCCCTTCTGAGTTTTTTTTTTTTTTTCAATTCCAAAACTCTTTCTTTCGAATCTCCGTCTCCTTCCCATCCGCAATTGACGAGCAGGCAGAGCGAGACCTGCTGCTGGGAACTGCGGTTCTTCACTTGTTTTCTTCTTCCCATCAGCAAATCGACGACTCCACCACTGTAGGTAAGTCGTCCACTCCTCCGTAACAAATAAGAAATAAATTTATAATTTATTAATGCTTTCATTATTAATTAATTTTTTTATGTAATTTATGGCTTTATGTGAATATATGTGATTTTAATCATTTCTTAGGACCATTGGGGAATAGGGGTTTAGGGTTTTGGCCTACTAACCTATGATATGAGTTGATGAAATCATGAAATTTAACAAATTAAGTTGTTATGTACTTACATAATTTAAAGTAATTACTTAATGAATTAATTAAACTATTTATATTTAATAAATTGGTATAAATATGTTTATGCTTTGTTAAGTTGTTAGCTGTAGTCCTTAAACAAAAAATAAATCAGCGTTTCACTTAAATCAAACTGCCATTAAAACCATATGGAATCAAAAGGGTTTGAATTTCATGAGCAAATAGGGGGGATTAACTCTGTGTTAGTTCAGCAAAATCTTGGAGGAGCAATCTTGTCACAATATTATGCATTCCGTGGTGTCCAGGTACTGCTACTTAGTTTGAACAGTGGATAACTTCCAGATTACTTTGTTTCAATCTGCTGCTAGTAATAGTAATGTTTATTGAAAAGAGGCTCCTTTTTCATGTTCGGATGATTAAATTCATCTTATCTTGAAAAGAGGCGTTATTAACACAAATTATCTTCTTGTGGGTTTGGGTTGTAGTGTTGTACTAAGGGTTTGTTCTTTTTCACACAGATATTAGTAGTTCTTTTCTAGTTTCAAGAAAAAAAATACGTGTTCTTGATTATTGTAGGATTATCGGAGGATTTCAATAAATTGATACTTTTCACTTAATGAGTGCTTTGGTTTTTATCATAGTCACATAGTTCGCGGAACGCTTCGGTACGGGAACGAGGAACGGGAACGCGGTTCGCTAGGTCTAGCGTATCCGGTTCGGAGGGGGGTAGGTTCATTTCGGTACGCGTTCGGTACGGTGTTCCTTACCTTCAGTACGCAGTACCTTATGTTTTGGTACAAGAATAAAACATAAATTACAGATTTCATAGCATTAAATAAAAACATATTTCGTAATATACTTTCATAACAATAAACAAAATAAAAAAAACATTAATATTATAGAAACTATTGACTCAAAAGTAGAGTGTTTGGACTTCGGTGTATAAAAATAGAACATTTTAACTTACGGAGTAATTTATAAGAGTTAGAAAATTGTAGAGTTGTACAATCCTTTTGGATCAGAAAACTAAGAGGCTGGAACAAAACGTACACCTGTACAAGCCTCTGGAAACGAAGCGCTCTTAGAGTTGGAAATTGTGCGTTTGATAGGAACGACAAGTCAGAGTGCCAAAAGGGTGTCGCTGGGAAATCGCTTTGGGGAACGACTTGCAAACCATTTCCGATCGAACAGAAAAACGATTGCGATCGATTTGTACAGCGATTGTTATCGATTCGAACTGTGATTAGGATCCAGTAGCCAAGCGTACCGCATCACGTTCCCTTTAGCGACTGGATCGCTTTCGTACCGCGATTGGGTACGGAGCGATCAGTTCGCAGATCGTGGCTCTTCTAGCGATCTATGTAACTATGGTTTTTATTATTATTATCTTTATGAACATGTAATTTAACACAAATTATCACTATTTGTTACTATTGTGATCTTTATTTATGTATTATTTCTATTTGTGTTAGAAAGGAATGCCCAAATTTTGTTATTGCACAGGACCGGCCCTGCCCATTTGTGTTAGGCTGCATAATCTGAACACTGCCCCAGTAGCCTCGTATAAAACAGCTCCACCTCCATAATCTGAACACTGCCCCAAATTTTGTTATTGCACAGGAAAGTCACTCCCCAACGAAGAGCCTGTCTGAAAATCGCTTCTATCTCATCCCCGTTGTCTGACGAACCAGTTAAGGGAAAGCCATCCGCCGCTACAGCAGCTCCCGCATGGTCCCTTAAGAGGAAGCCCGCCGATGATCTGCCATTCAGCCTGAAAACCGCCCAACTGAAGATTCTGATTATAGTTTGCAATGAAACCCTTCAAAGTTTTGAAAGTATTGAGCTTATCAGCATCACACAAGCCCCGCATACCCCGTTTCAATTCACATGTTTTCCGTCACTTTTACTCAGCCCAACCTCAAGAAACCGACCACTCCTCGGCCTCCGCAGTCCCTTCTTCATCTTCCTCAGAAGAAGACGAATTTTGTTCTTCAGATGTTTTCGATAGCTCGGATTATGCACTGGATTCGGATGTAACGGATAATTTGGGGAGCAATGTTGCCCCTCAACCCACTTGGGATGAGAAGTACAGGAATGAAGCAAGGAGGAGATTGTTTTGGGAAGATATTCCCCAGGTGAGTACTTCAAGAGTTTTCCTGAAGGAAGAAGAGAAGAGGAGGAGAGCTGCTGCTCTTGCCAAGAACCTCCTTGAGGCTGTTAATAGGCGGGTTGTGAAGGAAGGCGAGGCGCAGGAGGATGGGGGGTTGGTGAAGGAGGAGGATCAGAAATCTCTGTCTGTTGGGATTATTGGGGCTCCTAATGCTGGAAAATCCTCTCTTACCAATTCCATTGTATGTCTTCTCTCTCTAATTCACTTTCTTTTTTACTCCAATAGTCCAACTTTTTTATTGTGATCAACTTCAAGTATTATATGGACTGTTTATCTATTTATGGACAAGGACCAAGAGTAGTTTTTTTCACAGTTATGTACTTTGAAAAAGATTTAGTTCATTGTTTGTCTTCACAACCATGATTGGCATCAGATGTCCACATTTGTTTGCTCAGAACACATAGTTAACTCTTCAATAAAAGTTATATATTCTGAGAGTGCATCGCCATAAGTTATATCTTGTGGTGTATTAAATAACATAAGATAAAGCAGTTCTTATAAATGGTATATTCTTTCAACGATACAACTTAGGAATGGAAAACCCCACAGGAAGGTTGAAGTATTGAAAAGAGATAATTTTTTTTAGGTATCTTTTTTCTTTGGTTGTAGATGGGTCAAAATTAGGAGGTAAAAGAGCCACTGCAAGGTTGAAAGTTTGAAAATTCTACAAAAGCTTTGATGAGCAATATATGAAATTTGATTAACTTAGTCTTCTGATGTACTTTGCATCTTTTGGAAACTACTGACTTCATGGACCCTATGTTATTAATGTGCTATCAAACTATTTTTATATTCTGAGTGGTTGTGCTGTTGCTAAAAACTTGCACCTGTGGTTGCGAGTGGTGTGAGGAGTGGGGGGTGTGTTGTTGTAATTATGTGACTAAGCTATATTTTGCACTGACACTCTCTCTTATTCATTTAGGGGTGGTTATAAAAGGGATTGCTTGAATTTTGATTCTAAGAAATAAAATAAGAATTTGTGCTGTGAAATCCAATTAGTTCAAAGAATTTTTACATTCATTCTACTATTCTGATGTACCGCCTGTATGCAAAACAGATTAGTTCTGAAGTGTTTGGTAGAAGTGTATAACTATTCATATGATGTGATTCCTAAACAAAATGATAATTAGATCACTTTTCAACATCTTGGTGTGAACTTTTTACGAAAATCCAGTTTTGTTCTTTCAGAAAACCAGGATCACTTCTAGAAAATTTACAAACACCTCAAAAACCAGTTCTTCTAAGTACTGGTGTCTAAAATAGCAGAATCTGTCTTAAACAGCCAAACTAACACCATCGTACACGCTGTAGCTAAGAAAGTAAAAGAAATTATACATGACCATTGTGTGGTTATGTTTATTCCGGAATATTATAAGATGAATTCATCAATGTGAGCAATCTTCAAGCATTGTTGTGTGTCATCTACACTGTAACTTCCTTCATGATGCATGTTTTAGAGGGTGTTTGGATCTGGTTCTTAAAACTGCTTCTGCTCCTTCAGGGAGCAGAAGTTGGAGTGTTTGGGTGAAAGTTTAAAAGTGATTATGGTGCTCTAATATATTCCCAGAATCAGTTTTTTTAGAAGCTGGGGGAGACCAACTTCTGAAAACTGATTCTGATTCTGTTTCTACTTTAAAAAAGAAGCACAAGCAGAATCAGTTCCAAACACCCCCTTATTAAATGTTATAGATTTAACCTTTTACTTAGTTTGGGTTTTCTCACTATAGCCCCTACTCATCCAGGTTGGGACCAAAGTTGCTGCAGTTTCTCGCAAGATCAATACTACGACACATGAAGTGTTGGGAGTGATGACCGAAGGAGACACACAAATTGTAAGTCTGCCTTTATCCCTTCGATAATCCATTTTCCTCTGTAATCACAATGCAACATTATGGACGCATCAGCTGCTAAAATTGATCTAGTGGTGCATCAAGTACAAAAACTGAACGAGTGATATTCGTTATGAAATCGACTTTTAAGACAACTTTTTTTGTATATTTATTTCTTTATGGACGCAATCGAGTATAAACTAGTTAGAGGCTAAGAGTTAGTTATGTGAGGAAGCTTCAGAGGTGTGTGTGTGTGTGTGTGTATGTCATATGCATTGTACTACGGTTTCCCATTAAATTTGGGACAAAGGGAAGTTGCACACAAATTAAGGAAAAATGGTATTGTGTGATTGATATTGAATTTGTGAAGCATAGATGATTAATGATTTTGAGCCACATAAATATGAGTATGTGACCACATATTGTACGGGGCAAACATTATGTGATAGAAATAATAGAAAATTGGAGCACCCATAGTGGGACCGAAGGGTACCTTATTTTAGCGTGCTATACATTCAAATGCCAAAAGTCGAAAACTTAAAACAATGAAGTGCAATGTTTCTTGCTCTATTTGCATAGATATATATTCTTATTATTCTCATTCTGTTTGGACTTTGACTAATTGATTTTGCAGTGTTTCTTTGATACTCCAGGTCTGTTGCTAAAGAAAACTGGTTTCCCTTATAAAGATATGAAAGTGCGTGTTCAGAGTGCATGGCGTTCTGTTAGTCTTTACGATGTACTCGTTGTCATATTTGATGTTCATAGACACCTTACCAAGTTAGTTTTCTCTTGACCTGGCCTTGTTAGCGCTTGATCTATATTTTCCCTTTAATTCATCTAAATGCTAATCATAAAATGTTTATTCAACGTATGAAGACACCATAAGCATTTAATAATTTTTTCAGGATTTTTTTGTCAAGAAATGGTTTTTATATAAGTTATTGATCGTACACGTAATAATTTCCTTTTACCATTATATTTACTTGGTAAGACATTGTGGTTGTACAATGATGTATTTTACCATGGTTTAAAGTTTGAACTGGAGACGAGATACCAGTGTTTAAAAAAGGGCACCCGGTGCACATTGGCGTCCTCGCAAGGCGAGGGTCTGAGGAGGGGTCCCACTACAAGGGTGCATGGGCAAGCCTTCCCTTGTCATTTTTTACAAGAGGTCGCTCCCAAGAGCTGAACCCGTGACCTCTCGGTCACACAACAACACTGTAACCGCTGCACCAAGGCTCTCCTTTTTGAGATACCAGTTTTGTATGCAATATTTGTTGTCTTATCATTCTTATCATGAAAACGATCCAAATAGACGTGGATTAGAGGAGTTGGGTGTGATATGTTTCTTCTTGTGTCATTGGAAAGTCAATACACAAAATTACTCCACTTAAAAACGTGTAGAGTTAATCTTGATGCTTTATTACGGGACCGAGGTTTATTACGGGACGGAGCGAGTATGTAAATATGTTATAACTGGCATAACAGAGAAGTTTCAATATGTATTATTCGGAAATGTTTCTATTCTAGAGGAATGATTAACTCATCGTTGAATTTAACCGATCATATATAGGCCTGATCAGAGAGTAGTGAAATTGATTGAACGGATGGGCTCTGAAGTTGGCCAAAAGCAAAAGCGTGTCTTGTGCATGAACAAAGTTGATTTGGTTAACAAAAAGAAAGATTTATTGAAGGTTACTGAGGAATTCAAACATCTTCCTGGATATGACGAGTAAGTTCACCCTTGTTTGATGGATGATAATGCTCCTTTCAATGTCTTTTTAATCAAAAGTTCTTTTCTTAGGCATTTTATGATATCTGGGCTAAAGGGATCAGGGGTGAAATATTTAACGCAATACTTGATGAAGCAGGCAAGTATTTTCTTCTACTTTACTGCAATTTATCCACATGAAAGCTCACGTGTAAAATCATTATAGCCCATTTCCATCTGCGACCGTACACTGTTTGACATCCCAACAGCTTCTGAACATGGTATACATTTTACTCATTCAGTAAACATTTAGTTCGGGTGATGAGTGTGCAATTTCTTTTCCTTCTCAAATTAACTACTCCCACTGTCCCACTTTGTAAGACACACTTTCCTTTTAGTGTAGTTCCAAAAATATGATCACTTAACTAAACTGAACTCCACTAACTTTTTATTTTTCTACTTTATCCCTTTATCTATCATTTCACTCTTTACTTTTTGTGGACACATTGTACTCTTTCTTACTTTTGGAGGTTAGAAATGTAAAAAAAAAAACTACTTTGCACTTTATTTTCCTAAAAACCGCACCAAACATCCATGTATCTTACATTATGGGACAGAGGATGTATTATTTATATGTTTTCTATCATATGGTCTAAAAAAATAGAAGATATTTTATCCTCATGTAGCATTGTGATGCTCAGTGATTTGTTCTTCCCATTAAAACAGTTCGGTCTATGCAATTTCACTGTTTTATACTTTTCTCAACATATCCATATAAGAGTGCTTTCTTACTTAATTTCTCATGATGTGATTAATGTTATGATATGCTTAGGCAGTCAAAAAACCATGGGATGAAATACCATTTGTCATGAGTGACGAAGTTATGAAGAACATAGCAATGGAAATTGTTAGAGAAAAGCTGTTAGATAATGTGCATCAGGTACTACCTTTTTTTGTCTTTTTAAAATTTATTTTTGAGGAGTTACAGACTAACAGTATATGATGAGTTATTGGTTGGATGGAAAGTTCAGTGTATGTACATGTATTCAACACAAGGCTGTTTTTATTTTAAAAATTCAGGAAATCCCTTACGGCATTGATCATCGACTAGTTGACTGGAAGGAATTACGAGACGGTTCTCTCAGAATTGAGCAGCACTTAATAACACCAAAGATTAGCCAACGCAAGATTCTTGTCGGAAAGAAGGGTTCCAAAATTGGGTACTGCTTATTTCCACATTTATCTGTATTGGCATTATTTCTTTAACAAATTGTGTGTAATTTGGCTGCCTTATATATATATATATATATATATATATATATATATATATATATATATATATATATATATATATATATATATGCAGGAAGATCGGGATTGATGCAAACGAAGAGTTGAGATTGATATTCAGGAGGAATGTTCACCTTGTCCTCATGGTGAGAGTTAAACAATGACCTCAAAGATAAAAAAACATGTGGCGATTCACTTATATATATACTTAGAGAAAGCTGCTGCTTCTGCCAACATGATCAACTGAGCATGGAGAGTTTAGGGTGGAAGGAAGAAGCAAAGAAACATCCCACATCTCTGTATACTATGCCCATCCACTAAGCTCCTACCCACACAACATGTAGAAGCTCTGGAGTTCTTTCAATCTATTTGAAGTGCTGCCTTTTTCTTCTTTTATTTCTGGAAATTTTGGAAATTCAGAGGAATGGATCAATCAATGCAGGGTTAGCATCTAAATGAAGGATGAACTCTGCTTCATTCCTCTTTCGTCCATTACTGAAGCAGTTCTTTCTTGTTTATTCACTCTTATAAATAGTTATTGACCAGTAAGAAATATTTTTGGTAATGTTAAATTGGCGGTTTGACTTTGCTTATCTGGATTTTGCACCATTTATTCAGCATACCAATACAAGATTCCTCCATTTCTTGGATCTTGACTATTTATTCAAGGTGTATATTGTGGTGGAAATGTGTGGACCGCCGTTGATTTAAAGCATATTGCTCCGTGGGTATTTAGATTCTCAATTTGGAGTCTGGGTGATGATGTTTATGTTCAATAATACTTGATACTTATTCAATTCCAAGGTTAATGATCATTTCAAAATCTATTAAAAAAGGCTTTGTTAGGTACTTAGGTGCTAAAAAAAGCTTTGTTAGGTGCTTTATTGACAGTTGACACAATCTTTGACTTTCTTGATTAATGGCAGTAAGATTTGATCAATAATTTTGATTAATGTTTTTATGGAAGTCATCAATTTTATAATAATAGCTTTGTCCCATTTTGTAAGATACTTTTCCTATTCACTTGGTCCACACAAATCACTCTTAATCTCTTATTTTATATATATCATATTTTTATCATTGAGTTTTCTCTCTAGGGTTTCGACTATGTCGACCGCTGGAGTCTTTTTTCGATTTCAACTTTGTTGAAGATCGGCTTTGTATTCCCTTGGTCACTGGTGTTCTGCTGGAGTCTAGGTCAGACGCGGAGGGCGGAGATCGAAGGAGGGCGGATTTGTTGTCATGGCTCGAGGAGATCGGCGTTGTGATCAAGGTTCGAGGAAGCGGCGTGGCTGTCGTCGTAGGAGAAGATCGGCGTCGCATATCCGTTTACTCTGGTCGCACGGAGCAGGGATGCGTTTGGTTATGCAGGGACGAAGGATTGATGCCTGGTCTTTGGCAGCCAAAGGTCATGGAATATCAATTAGCATGGTACCGGTGGTACGACCTCCTGAAACACCACCATGGGATGTGCGAGGTGTTAGAGTTTGTGAAAGTTTTTCTTGTAGTTTTTATCTGTTTGTTATTTGTTTTCTTGTGTCCACTTTTGTTGTTGGTTTTGTCAATTTGTTTGAGTTTTTTGCCTCTCTTTATGTCATTGGGTATGGTTGGATCTATGGGAACAAATTTGGCTGTGTCAAGCCCACTACATGGTTAGCGATTCGTGTTGCTCTCTCAGTCGTTGTTGTTGGAGTTTCAGTTGGTGTCAGTTTTATTTTTCCCTTTGCTTAATGTAATGATCCTGAATCTTTTGATATGAATAGAGGCCTGTTTTGATGATAAAAAATATATCATATTTTTATCAAATTTGATTCAGCATGGGTTCCAAAACAGACGATACTACTTTCAATTCTCTTCAGTTTTTCATTTTTTTTACTGATAACCTATTGTGCATGCAGTGTTCAAAATGTATCCACTCTTGGGCCTTTGAGTGCATTTTCCATTACCAACCCCCGTACAGTTACCTCCTTTTTTGAGATTTTTCTTACACTAAATGATTTGGAAGTCCATACTCTATGCATGTGATTAAGTCTTACAATGACATTTCATGATTGATAAATGATGAGTATTGAGTCGGTTTCTGAACACAGGTTGGATTAAGGCCTAAGAGTGTAATAGTGGATACATTCTAGGTTGACATAGAACTGAATGAGAACGAGATATATAAAGAAACCAGCAAATGACCTTATTCTCCAATTCTGGTCTAAAACTAGGTAAGCAATTCAAATCAACTTCAATCATCCAAAAAAGATCATTATTGACTAGTTCCATATCTCATTTCAGTTTTTATTTGAATTTATACAAAAGAACAAAAAACTAGAAACAATCTAAAATTGACACCCTTAAATCAAACCAAAACCATAACTGATTTATCCAGAAGCATTCCTGCATTATAATTGATGTGTGGTACCTAAATTGAGTGCTTTTGCTCTCTTTCACTTCGTCTGCATATCAACTCAGAGAGTGGGGGACTCCTGATAGAGTATATGGGCCTAAGCCCCATGGCCCACACACTCAGAAGGTCAAAACACAAGACTGCCACCCACATGGTGTCCCATTGATCAGATGGCACCCCATCGGCTAGACCCAAAAGTATTCGTATCACGACCCAGAGGCCTAGGGTGAAGTGGGTTTCCCTTCGGCCTAGCACCGCATCGGCCAAACACCCACATCGGCCAAGACACTCCAGCAAAATGCATTTTTATACTTAGACAGATAAATCATGTACCCAACCCATTAATAACCTTATTAGGCTTGGACTCGGTTCGGGCCACCCGGTCCAGCCCGGGAGGCGGGTACCGGTTCCGGGTCTAGGCCCGGTTATAGGGTGTAACCGGGGCCGGTTCCGAGTCTAGGCCCGATTATAGGGTGTAACCAAGGCCGGTTCCGAGATAGGTGAAATGTGAACCGGCCCGACCCGGAACCGGTAGACAATCGGGCCGGTCCCAGGCCTAAACCACAACCATCCAGACCCGGCCGGGCCTAGGCCCGACCTGGACCCAGCTCCATGCCTAGGCCTTATTATGCCCAAAAAGAGGCCTTATTATTGTAATGGGTCTCATAAGCCCAAGGCTAGCAGCCTAAATCCACATTTACTTCTATAAATAGCCCCCCTAAGAGGTAGTTATAGGGGTTGAGAAATATTAATTACTCGCTTTCTCTCTAGCTCTCACTTCTCTCTAAGATTTAATACTCTATCAAATATTAATTATTTTACTACCCTTAGGGATCGGTAATGGCACAAACTTATACGTAGTATATTAATGCAGTTTTAGATTTTGTCGGCCAAAACACAAAACCATGAATTTCAAGCATAAGCCACGTAAGATCAGGGCACCAAGAGGAACCGAGATCAAGTAAACAATGTAGTGATCAGTCCCTTGAACAACAACCAATCAACAGATCACAGCATAATATCAGCCAAAGTTCAATACAAAAAGAATGAAGGTGAAATTTCCAGTAACTAATTACCCAATACCCCTAACAACGAACAACCTCCATTTGCTGGAACCTAATCCAAGTTCACCTATGAGCTGTAATTAGAGTCTCAATGAATCGTAATCCATCAAACCGTGGAGCAAATTTCTCCCTATTGGCCATTTTCTCCACACTTGATGAAGATGATTCCTGTGATTCAATCATCCCATGCTGTTGTGATAGAGGGTTGCGATAATATGAGAGCCCCTGCAATATATGTTAAATATAATTAGGATCCAACCAATAATCCAATCATTCCCAGTCTTGATCCCAAACCTATGTGGTGCAGCTACACAAAGATCGATATTCTCCATAGGGCATTCAGATCACAAATTTCAAGCTATGAACACTAATCACTAATAACAAGATACAATATGCATTTACATAAGAAATTGCTCAAAGTAGGAGTTAAACATCGACAAATTCTTAATTGGAGAGAACTCCCTACATAGGAGCAAACCTAAAACATATTCTCATTCCTATAATGGAGAGAATTCCATTAAGCAAATACTTAATGGGCTTTATTCTTTTATTAAGATTAAATAAATCATGTCTTAGGAATCGAACACAAGCATCCTATTTGTGAACTCTGTCAATGTTTTACTCATATTGTGTTAATGTTCTACTCCTGATTCGGGAACTCCCTCTTAATTTAACATGAAACAAGTAATGGTTTACATAAAATAGTTTTTATCCAAATTCACGGTTGCACAGCTTAAATGCTTAATGGTTTATTAAATAGGTACAAATCTGTACAATTCTGTCCAGCTTAATGGTTCATAACACATTCCAGAAGTCATCTCTAACTTGAGGTTCCGATCTATCTAGTACTCCGTAGTAAAAAGCTACACAAGGTGGGTGGCAGACTGAGGCCTAACAAGTAACAACCCAGTGAGATTAAAGGATTAGACAGGATACAAGTGGTATAAAGGCACCTGTACAGGAAAATGCTTACATGACCAAAGAAGTTAGGGTTTCAAAGGAGACATTTTCATTGAAGAGAAGTAATTAGATGTCTAGTGCATGAGTTATATTACGTAAGATGCTGAAAGTTCCTGATATTAACCAACATCGAATCAATCATGATGAAAGGCTAATTTGAATGACTTGCCAAAAGAATAAAGTTGCCTAGATGAGATTGTAAAGTTCGTGCTCGGTTTAAGAGGAATAGTCCAACAAAGAATCCTTAACCAAAATATTAGATAATGGTAATTACATTCGAAGTGTATTGTACTTCGAATGTATAGCGAAATCAGCTGAGCCCATAATTAGTGACAATGTATAGATCCATAAGTACACGTAAATGACTCTAAATACTACATAAAAGGTTGCTAATAAGTGAAAATAAAATACAAATCTTTCTTCAATAACATCCAAATAACATTGGTTGATGACATTGCCATGGATTTATACCGGTCAGTTAATATACTATGGGGTGTTTGAAACTTTTAAAAACGGATTAATGCATATTTCAAAGCAGAATCGGTTTGATAAGTGTTTGGATATAAATAAACATAGAAACACTTCATGGAGATTAAACAAATCGGTTTGGAGAAGATAAAGTACTGGGTTTTGGAAAACTGATTCTGGTTTTGGATGTTTCAAACTTTCAATCCTTGAAAATCTTCAACCGTTTCCCTTTACAATTCCTTTAATTTAAATCTGAAATTACTTTTTTAAGAAAATCAGACGAAAATTAAGACCTAAACACACTAACATGTCATACAGAGATTGCCATCGATAAGAAGTTCAAAAGTGTAGCAATTAGGAACTAATTTCAACAAGGGCGAGCACGACTTAAAAACGTGAAAATTTACTTAGCTGAGAACAATAAATAACAAATAAACGGGACTGAACGGTTACCTCGCTGGGAAATAGGTTGATGTTCGACTCATTATCGCTGGCGGGGGCGGAGAGAGCCACGGTGGAAGCGGCAAGCACGGAGGCAACCAATGTGCAGGTAGCCTTCATTTTTCGTCGAGAAAGGGGAATGAACGAATAGATCTGTCAAAGCTCGGATTAAAGTGAGGGAAATCCGACGAACAATCGCCGGATATCCGCTCTACTCCGCGATACGAGCGACGGTCTCCGCGAACTTTTGTTTTTCTTCTACTCTACGTTAACGGACTATGGGCTTTATAGCGATGAGCGAAAGAGATTTCCGAAATCAGGCTCAACACCCACAAATAATTAACGACTCCAATAATTAAAGTTGCTAAAATAGCATCCGCTTTTTATCATACAATGTTGATTTTTGGGACATTTTTTGAAATAGGAATAAGAGTGAATAGATAGTCTATATGGAAATACTGCTTAATGGTATCTAGAGAGAAAAGGCAAATCAATAGGTAGGAAAGAGAGCAATAGTATTAAATGAACAGTCGTTACAACTATCCAAACGCTGTTATTTATACTAGTAATAAATGTTAGGTGCATTAAATGCACATACACGTGTAAGCTAATATATATGGCGGAGAGCCACCTGTGATGCAGACGATGGAACGTGATGTAACATTAAATGTGATAGTTGGAGTTGGAGAGCGCCAGGCAGAGAAGTGTGTGTGCGGAGACCGAGGGCTACTAACCTAGGTCTTGCTCAAGGAGACGAAGGTTCCGGGCATGTCAATGACTAGAATCGGGGTGATTTCTTGAGTTTGGCGCCTTCTGCCATGGGGCTGAAGGGCATTCCTCATGGGGGATGGGTCGTCCCATACTTGGGCCGTTGTATCTGGGCCGCTTGTGCCTCTTGGGTCTGTTTGCTGTGGCAGGAGTATGTGGACCGGCAGGGGGTCCCGGGCTATATACTCCATAAAAGAGTTGCTACTTCTGTCCTGGTGAACTTTGCCAAGTTTTAAGTAAGTGAGAAATAAGTAAAGCAAAATTTGGGTGCTTGAAGTTTGTGCAAAAAAGAGAGAAATGTGCATAATAATCACAGATTAGTTACTTTAATAAAAATAGCAAAGTCTTTTGGGACAATCAGAAATGAAAAGTTGACAAAGTCCAATGAGACGGAGGAAATATATGCTTTCTTTCTTAAATAAGACAACACTAACATCATTTATGTGAGTTTCAACTGTAAAAAATAAGCATAAACAATGTGTAAGTCACATTATCAATTTCAAAAGTCAATTAAACAAACTGAGTCAATTGATCACGGGCATAAAATGATGCCTTTTTAAAACCTTGCCCAAAAATATCATTCAAATCTATTACTTTTATTAATACACTAGCCAGACAACAATTCTACTTCCTCGTAGAGTCATAGAATCATTGTCCATCATATATGTGTGTGTATATATATGTATAAGTCGGAACATCTCCTTAGGGGAAAAAGCCATTTATTTTATTCAATCTTTCCGCCCTTACTAGCATTGCTTGGTCCAATATCCCATCCTAGAAGTCCTAGAATCTCAATGAAAAGGAGTAGTTGAAGTTCTATATGCATGCTGATAAGTACTACGTAGTTTTCAGGAAAGAGTTTTGAAAAAGCTATCCTTATTAATTTGAATTTGTGCAATTAATCTGATTAATTTGAATACATTGAAAATTAATTATCCAATCGATGAAATTCTTAACAAATGAAATTGATTATGGAAGAAAAGGTGAATAGTGACGAGAGTTTGCCCTCAACAGGCATGACAAAAACTTGGATGCTTTATTTTCCATGCACATTTATTAAATTTGAATGGAATAAATTCCATCTCGATAAAATGGCTGAAGTTCAACATTCTACATTACAAAAGGGTTTGATGATTTAATTTTTTTAAATCTTAACATTCATCATAAGGGCATCCCCATTCATGTGTTTATTTTGGGATTATTTTGATGATGTGGATGATATTTTTGAAGATCATGGTTGAGAAGGTAGGATTATTTGGAGAGATTATTTGAAAGAAAAATCTAGTATCAAATATTAAAATCCGGATTATTAGAGATTATTTAGCTTGCTTTTAATGTACTACTCTTGAGTTTCGTGAACATGCGTTAATCTTTTAAAATTAGAGAGTTGCACACCTTAAAAATTATCTACCACTAAAACTATATACTACTACGTACGTTTTTTTTTTTGAAGGAGTATACACCACGTGTTGAGAATAGGAAAGTTGCACCTGTTACACACATTCATTAAATTAAAATAAAATAATGTATATATTATAGTAATTGTGATTGAGTGTATATTAAAAAAACATGTGTGTAATTTATTTATTTATGTATATATACATGTATGTGTACATGCATATTATATACTTCGTGTAGTGTGTAGTAAGAGTATTGTGTGTACGTAGTGGGTGGCTGGGTGCATGTGAGTGCATTTAATTGGGAGATTTTGAGTTTAAGTGTTTGTCTCATTAAATTTTGAATATATAGAGATCATTGTTGAGGAGAAGTTGATAAACTTTGAGATTTTTTATGTGATTATGACATGACAATATTAAGCCATAAAAAACCGCAATTTTTGGGAGCATGAATGGAGATGCTCTAAGTGGATAGACATTCCATACATTTATTACTGCATGTCATAATTATTAAAAGAAAAATTCTCTTTCGTACAGAGGTGTATTAGTTTATTAATCAATTAATGACATCAATAGACTTCTTTTAATTCTGTATGTTAGTTCACGTGAAGAAGAAATTAAATGCATCTTCTACGATCACAATTTGGCCATTTGGTACTAGGAAGACAAACCCAACTGCGACTACTTCCGCTGCCCTGCCCCACACCACCTGTTATAACCGTCCGTCTTGTGAGTTGTGACATCTACCAGCGTGTAGGTGGGTCAAGGTATCATCATCATTCTGGTATGGCGTATTTGTTACTAGCCTAACGAATTAGATTCTCGCATGCTTAAATTATCTCCGCGCCCTCCCCATTTTGGGAAGACTAGACTTGAATCATGGTGATTTGTGCACGGGTACAAACTCCATCATTATTATTAGGTCGATTGAGTCTCTTGAAAGTCTTGTCGGATTGGAGCGTGGGAGCCCTTGGAGTTGGGGATTCAATCTTTTGGAACATTAAAACATGGTGATTCAATCAGTGGAAGTGTGGAACATCTTATACTTGTACGCACTAAAAGCTCAATCCAACACATATGAATTGTGACGTCCACATGATTGTTGCGGATTTGGAACCTTAATCATTGTCAGAGATTTTTTGGTAAAGATTAAAATTACGAGTAATCATTGTGGTCCATTTTTATTAAGAGTTTGGTTGTTAGTGCTAGAGAGGATTAAATCTACTCAAATTGTTGAATATGTGAAATTATTATTGATAAACAAAAATGCTAAATTATAATCAAATTATATTGAAATACGTTTTATACATTTAATTATTAAATTAAATAAAAATTCTATGAAAACAAACTAAAATAGTGTGCTAGCACGAATTTAGCTGAAAAGTAATTTCAGTCTTATTTATTTTGAATGCTACCTCCACCAAAGGACTGAGTTTTGTAAACGAGGATATGATGATATTATTAATAAAAGCTGATTTGTGTGACCAATAGATATGAGTCGGTAGTGTGAACAAATTATGAATGAATTGCAATGAATCATTCAAATATTATCAAATCTGACATGAAACAACGTTTTCCCCATAAATAAGAATAATATATTGTGTGTGGACAAAAATACCCAAGTGTTTAGGGTACATTAAGGTTTAGGTTAATGGTTGCTAGCGGTGGCAGTGGAGGCTCAACGAACAACAGTGGCGTTCCGATAACCGACAGCGGCCACCCAGCGGCAACAATGGTTGTCCAGTGAGAGTGGCTAAAAGCTTCAAACTCTATAACGGTGTTTTTGTTCAACCAAAAATTATTATATTACTTCTATTTAGAGAATTTTAAACATTATCTCATATACTTTCATTTTAGATATGCTTTGCTCCTATTGTGGAAATTTTCTGTTTCAAGTTTCATGTTTTATACTACGTATTAATTAGTATTTTGTACATTGCCTGAGTAAGACAAATTGTTCAACATAAAATATTTGATTCATAAGCAAAAATTAGGGGCTAAGTAAACCATACGATCATTATTTGGTTCTCCTAGGGAGATTTCTTATTATGCTGCTTAAGATGAAACCGTTTACCTAACTATAGTTAATTGAGAAGATGACCAAATGTTATGTAAGTTTGATCTTTTACCAAGGGGAAATGTATGTAGGAGTATAAGATAATAAGAAGCCAGTGCATAAGCTTTTCAGTCAGGAACTGGAATGAGGAAACATACTATTATTTAAAGCGTACAATGTGCACTGGCCGGATACATTTTTATTAATTTAGGTTCTATAAAAGGCGACCCTTCAATTCTGCATGGAAATGCAAACATGTCAGCTACATCTAATCGATCATCATGCAACCCTTCGACTCCGACGCACAAGCCTTCTCGGAACCCCAAATATGAGTGCCTTCATCAAGAATCCCCGATCGAAGCTACAAGCAAGGGCTAAAGCTCCAACGCAGACGACCAACTTTGAAATCATAACATCTGGTGATGCTGCAGCAGCTGGTTTATTGTGGGAGGAACATTTATTAGTTTCCACTTCAGATGAAGAACTACTAGTGGAACCATCTTGCTTCTCAAGGAATTGAAGCAGAGTGCAAGGAAGACTAGTAAGCTTAGTGTTTATATGAGCCAACAGAACATATCGGGAAAGTGGGGGATCAGATGCTCGGTACTTGAGATAAGCTCGCAGCCCGGGGTCAATCCTCTTGACGGTTCCCCACATGCCATTCTCAACTCCAAACTTTGCGATCCCCCTGGGCATTCCCATATCCTCGTAATGGAAGAGTGTGATCTCACTTGCACTCAACTGCCCATCTCTTTCTGATTTAGCTGCATGCATAAGTTTCACATTAACCACAGTAATATTGCAAGTTTTACCATAATTTAGAGCAAAAAGCAATGCACCAGTTTATATAGTTACACAAGATTTATGAGCTACCAACAAAAAAGTGTTATAAATACCAGGTTGAATACGCCAACTTGACCAAAATTCATCAACTTTTTTTGCATTTTCTCTCCTGGTGATATAAGTACAAGGCACACCCTGACAAATTGCATTGTGTAATAAATTAATACAGAGCATAAGCTTCAATATAAAGGGTAAGATATGAGTGGTTAGATATCCATGCGCTTATTTATACTTGCATATACTGCAGGTCTGCAGTACATCAAAATGACAAAATGTATGAAAATCAGGAGGCATTTTTGTAATTTTTTTGATGTTGCTCATGATTTCCTTTAAAGAATGTTGATTACCTTTTCAGCCTACTCATGTTCATGCTCTATTTATTTTGATCATAGTTCGTTAAAGCATGCTCATTTGCATAGGACAGTTGCTTCTTTTCTTCTAAAATACTCGTGTGTTTATTTTACCTGGTTAGATGTATGATTATGGCACATCCGGATGTACCACATACAAACTAATTATTTTTGGTCCATTGGCCCTTAAATTGTTAATGCATTATCAATAGCTACTTAGTCAAATGTCAAGCAGCTATTAAGAATGATCAGTCGTGCTGTAGTAACATTAATGTGTGTATGTCTGTGTGTGTATGTAATACATATTCTAATAATATTAGTCAGGCTCACATGTAAATAAAGCCAAAAATATAATCTGCGACTGCTAGAATTATTAAGAAAACATTTAAACTAGACCCAACCATCCAAACCAACTTCTAAGAGTCTAATTGCAATTATCCAGATTGCGCCACTGAGCCACTCAATCCAAAAGTTCTTAAAATGTTCATATCTTATTTCATAATCATCTTCTGGGTCGATATTTGTAGTATCCCTTTGCCTAAATTATTTTTTACCAAGTCAAGGATATCCTCAACCTAGTTATGACAGAGTAAAATGATCGACGAGTCAAGAAAACAGCAGCCGAGTCAAGAAAAACAGCAGCAGACTAGCAGAGCACACACTAGGGAGGATACTCATAGCATTAGCTAGAACTCGTCAAGTACTCACTGATTTAACAACTTATATTGCAATAGTTATAGAAATCTTTGATGCCTGTTGCCTATTGGGGAGTCGTTTATATGAATGCAAAAGAATAAAGAAATAGGATTCAATCATTTTTACATTCAGAATTCAGGCTATTATGTACTGCAAGATAAACCTTGAATTTACCTTGCATATGCAATAATAAGAATCGCCTAACTGCCAAATCCGACGAGCGATTGTGTAATCTCTATAACAAGCGACAACGGGAAACTATGCAAAGTAGAATAAAGATTCATAAAAAATGATCTATTAAATCAGTAATCACTATTGCTAAATAAAGAAATTACAATAATTAGTAAGGTAAAGAGGATAGGCACCATACTTTGCGAATCCAGTGAACTAGCATAGCTCCAGTCTCTTTACACTCCTCCAAGAGATCGGATTTGAAATGCATTGCATCCCAGTTGGATCTGAACTCATCATCCCAATAGAAATCCCTGAGGATTTCAGGTGTAATATCCTCGTGTATAGTTATGGTTCTATACATCAAGTGGCCCTTCTGAAGAAGGGGCAGGTAAGCAAAATACAAGTACAAAAAAACATATCAGAAAAAGGTGCATGGATAATCATACAATATATAAAATAAAAAATCCTGCTGATCAAGAAAAAGATATGATGACCTTAGAGTTCCTACGATGACCTTTGAACCTTATGTTGGTATCAGACCGTTCCAACACCTTAACCCAACAAGGTCCATCAATCTCTTCTTCAAGCAATTGGTGTAATTCAAGAAGGTCTTTCTCAGTTAATATGTAAGGTTTTGCTACACTTGGTTGCAATGCTCTGTATAAACCAATTCAAATTGTTATTTAAAACCAGAAATCAAATAAAGTAATAGAAATGTATCAAAAGGTCAACCTAATAGAAGAGTAGTACAAACTCCAAACCATTGTTTGTGAGTTTGTATCTCTATATAAGACCGTGTATGGTGAATTAACATGTCACAAGATTGTGGGTCATTGGAGCAGAATAATCATGAAATCCTTTTTGAGACTCAGTCACATGGATTGTTAACTTGAGCTTATGTGACTTTGATATCATATTAAGACACTTGATAATTCACCTTGAAAGGTAAATCTTAGAAAATGATTACTACACAATCTACAAGTTGGTTTTTATTTCTATACAAAAAAAAACTAAGATAAACTCATGACTAACCTCAACTACTGCTGGCCTTATGATAATCTCATAATGCTTCCAAATATGACTTACTCTATAATAACCTTAACAGCTATGCTCCCTTTGGATGGAAATGAATGTAGTTAAATATAGGTAAGAAAATTGATTAATTTCATTTTGGAACTTATTTGATACGTAGCAAGTGATATTATTGTGAACCAAAAGGGGTGCTTCCCTAAATGATCTAAAGTAAATTTCAACTTAGTGAACAACTTAAAACCTGATAGATATTTTAGGAAAGATAAGTAGAATAATCCCTATTATTGGTATTCAGGGCACAATATCTTCTCTAACCCATTCTATTATGGACAGACGGTTGAGACAATTCTGAGATTGATTATCAGGTGAGATTTAAAAATAATAATGATCCGCAAGCTATAATCTGTGCAATAAAATAGATAACAAACTAGAGATATAGCGGCAAACCTCTGTACAGGGGTGACTTCCGGAGTTTCATTCTCATCACTCCAAGTAATTAAACTCGGCAATTGAAAGTTCGTCAAATTCTGAACTGAACCTAACTCCACTGGGAAGCTAGAAAACCACGGAAACGAAGACGACGGCATTATCGAGGAAACCCAATTTACAGCACCATCCAGCTTAGCCCAATTCGGCTTCCACGCCCAACCCGCCAACAATCCGACCACAACCGCTAACCAGAGCGGCGTAGAATACATTAACAGATCAAAGATTGCATACCCAATCGCTGTATCTTGCAAAAACTCGAATAAGCCGTCCATGTTGATTCAGTAAAGCGAGCAGTTCTTTGTTGTTTTGGCGGCAAAGTGGGGAGAGTGTGAGAATGGATATATACATGGAATGGGGGATTGGAGATGTTTCAGCTTCCTTAAACGTGGGCAAATGTTTATACAAATCTGGGAATTTCAGCGTTAGAGCAGACAAACACGGAACTTGTTGCATCGATCGGGGAGCAGTTTGAACGACTCTATTTTGTTGTCTATGTGTGTAAAACTCGAAAATTGAATTCATTGCATCAAAGGTAGCATGCACTCACACTCATGCACCGCCCGCATTTAGAAAATATTACATCCCTCCCCCCAAAATAGATTTCATTCTACTTATCATACAATTATTATTAAGAACCCGTTTGAAAATATTTCTATAAATTTTGTTGAAATTTATGAAATTCTGATTGAAGTAGTGAGATTGATTGGCTTAGCTGATTTATGCAAAAAATATTTAAAATATACGTAGTATTTTATTGATAAAGTAAATAAAAAATTATATGAAAAACAACTAAAATGATCATTTATATTAACTTCATTAATACAGTTAGAAAAGTAACTTCGACCGTACTTTTTCTTAGTATTACACAATTTAGCATGCAGAATAAAACGTTATAATTTTCTTGTAAAAGTTGGTTGATAAGCTGAAAAATTAATACATATTCTTATTTTAATGCATTTTAAAAAATTAATTTTACATTATTGAAATTTACACAAAAAGTTTTTAAAAGTGTAATGACATGATCGGTTGTACTTTAGGCATGATAAAATCAGATATTTTTGTAGTATATAGGAACTTTAGGTTTGTGAATAAAACTCTCGTCTTCTGACATAAGAAAAACTATCAATTTGGTTCTCGTACTGTCATGGAAACGTAATTAAGTCCTCGTACTCTTAAAACATCATTCAAATCTCTGAACTTTGAAAAAAGTTCAATTAAGTCAATTAATAGGTTACCTGCCAGGTCAGCAGACCACTCACTGACATGGCGCACATGTGGCGGTCCACGTGTGTGTCACGTAATTGAAAAATGTCTGGTAGGGGCTTCCATGTGTGTGCCACGTCAGCATAGCTAATGTTGACTGGGTTGCCACATGTATGCCACGTCAGTAGGCGATTTGCTGATGTTGCGGGTACTTGCTAATTGATTCAGTTAAACGTTTTTTCGTAGTTCGGAGATTTAATTGATTTTTTAAAAAGTACGATGACTTAATTGACGTCTTCGTGATAGTACGAGGGCCAAATTGATTCAAGTAAGACTTGATGCTTAATGAAAATGTCTTGATGCTTAATGAAAATGTCTTGATGCTCAACTAGCCAAAATTATGATTTTCATATCAATGCATATTTTAAAAGTACGATGTTAAATTAGATTCACATATTAAAATTCAAAGGAATTCATTGTAGATATAATTTAAGATTTGTTTACAAAAGAAAAAATAAGTAAAAGAAAGCAGATTAGAAGATGTAGACCGGAGATCACGATGCTCAATATTAGACTACTAATACAAAAAATAATAATATCCCAATAATGCTCAATATTAGACTACTAATACAAAAAAAATTAATATCCAAACAATGCTCAATATTAGACTACTACTAATATAATCCTGCTGCTCAAACAAAAAAATTACTCTTCACGTGTATTACTGTTCACATGTATTTTAGCTATGAGAATATCATGCTCACTATGAGCTCCTTCCACCGTATAATCATTGTCTTTGTTCTTGCTTTGGATTTATAGCATCTCTTTGCTTTCAAATTCCTCATTACAAGTTATCACACTATTAAATATAAGGTAATTTAGGTTTGGTGTTTAATCCTTGCATCATTTATTAGCTAGTTGTTTTTTCTTAATCCCTGCATCATTCGTTGTGATTCTTTGCTATGAAGTACTGTAGTAGTCAGTTTATATTATTTTCGACGTGATTTTCATCATTGATCATCTGGAAACAATCTCCGTGCTTTAGTACATGAGTAAGACTACGTATATTCAACTTCCCTTACTCTATCGTAGGTGGAAGCCTTTGCGACATTGAGATAATGTTGTTGTTTGCTGTTGTGTTACTAATTACATTTACTTAATGAAATATAAATTGTTTTAGGGTCGATCTTTTAAAAAGTAATATGCGATTTGGAGAAAATTTTCTTTTCTACAAATTTCTTCCAAACTTTTGAAGATCGGCACCGTATATCTTAGGGGTGAGTTGTGAGCATATCGGTTTAATTTTATTGAATCGTAGCAAATCAAACTAAACCGAATCATATGGAATTTGATTTGAATTTGATAGTATTTCATCCAAATTGTATTAAACCTAATCGAAATCGAGAAAAAACGAACAAACTCGAACTAAACTAAAGAAATTCAATAAAACCTTCATATATTATTAAATAAAAGGAACAAACTCGAACTGAACTAATTTGGAGTAACAAATTAGAATTGAGCCAAACCGAAAGAAAGTATTGTTTTTTGATAATCATTCTTCCAATCCATTTCAAACTAAATTGAACAGAAAATCAATAAAACCGATCCGAAAACTGATATGTCCAAGCCTGGCTAGTACTTTTTCTATGTAGTATGTTGAGTCAGCAACTTAGCAAGCCTTTCTACGTCTAGAAAGTTTTCTCTATAGCGTTTAATTTTTTTTCCCAACTCAACACAACTGTTTTTTCAGCGGAGAAGAAAATAAATAGAGTATACAATGTCTCATTTTGGAGCCTTTTATATACACAACCGTTTTTGCTACAACTGCTTTGTTTTTATTTATTACGATTACGAAGTAGAACCGTGTGAGTTGGACAGTTTGTATACAGTGTACGCAAGCTTCATAGGGTAAATCTATAGGAAGATTTTTTAGATGCTGTTTAAAAAGTAAGTTCTTATATACAAAATTTTCCCTAAATGGTGTCAAATAAGACTAAAAGTAATACGGAGTATTTCAAAACAGGCTAGAAAAAGTATTACTCTATTAAGAAAAAGTATTTTTTTCTTAATATGAATAATTACTCTATGTTTGAAAAATACTGTTAAAATATGACATTAATATTATCATATCAATGCATAACAATAATGTACTCATATTAAACAGACTAGAAAGACTGCTAATTTGTTTAGACTTTTTACTGTCTGCTCTTTTTTTTTAATTAGTCAAGTTTTTATTGCGTCAAAAGACATGAAGCCAGGATTAGACAGAGTTGTGCACCTTTCTTCTTACAGTCCAATAAAAATGGAAAATGTTACAGCTGGAATTAGGTTTCATATTTAATGAGCAGTATTAGACAGAGTGAGAAGCCAGGATAGGAACTCCACACAACAAACCTCACTTCATACTCTGGCTATCACTCATCATGAACTCTCCCACTTCAATGATTCTGATAGAGTTATTGATGATCATACACTGTTTCTCATTTCTCTCCATTATTAATGCTCAACAACCTTATGATTTCTTCTACTTTGTTCAGCAGGTACATACCCTTTTCTTCATTTTATTATTCAGTTCAATTTTTTTGGTGTTCTATCAAGTGAATTTTATAGCTGCAAATTGAAATTCAGAAAGGGATACTTCAAACTTTCAAAAGTTCCAATACAATCTTCCATCTCTATTTAAAGAACAGATTTAGAGTATTTTTCAGGAAGTCTCTGTCAAATCAATCACACAATAACTTCAATCATCAATCATCTTAGGTAAATTTGACCCTTATCTGTTTTTTTATTTGTTGTTAATGAAGTGGCCAGGATCATATTGTGACACCAAACAAAGCTGTTGTTACCCAACCACAGGGAAGCCCAAATCAGACTTTGGCATCCATGGATTATGGCCTAACAGGAATGATGGTTCTTACCCATCAAACTGCAACTCCAGCAATCACTATGATGAATCCAAGGTTCCCATGCTTGTGTCAAACATATATTGTAATTTAGTAGCTAGCAGCAATTAAGATTCCACAAATGGGATTAATTATGACCATTTTTTATCTCTCTTTTTGAAGAAATTTCTGAGTAAGAGCATAATACGGAGAAAGTTCTAAAATAGGACTGTGAATGTTTTCTTCCTAAAATATGAAAACTTCTCTAAATAGGAGAGAATGAATCATATTTGTAAGAAGAAACGAATCACCTCATTTACATGTTCGAGATGTTAGTCAGTTTGTGTACATAGTACACTGACGGTTCTACCTTTTTTGATGAATTGTATGTGCAATGGACAAAATAAGAGACATGTACAAAAAATGTACAGAAAAGTGTACAAAAACGTGTACAAACGGAATTTATCATATTTCATATCTATTCAGAAAATTCTACTCTCTTTAATTTAACCTGTATTGGGTATGTAGATCTCAGACTTGATTAGCAGAATGCATGAAGAATGGCCGACACTGTCTTGCCCAAGTAATAATGGGTCAGCATTTTGGTCACATGAATGGGCCAAACATGGTACCTGCTCCCAGTCCGTCCTCAACCAACGCTCTTACTTTGAATCCGCTTTGAAGCTTAAGAGTCAAATTGGTTTGCTCCAACTTCTTCAGAAAGCAGGTATCAATGAAATTACAAATAAATAGTGGAAAGCCATTTTTGTTAAATACCAAACCTCATAATAGAAGTAATGGTTTTTGTTTATTCATATGATTTCGATACTGTAAAACCTCATATGATTTCTATATATATTAAAACAGAACAGAAAGAGTGCATCTTCACTTCTGTTAAATAGAGTATATCTGCATATTTATTTATTAGTGAAGCTATTTGTGCAGGAATCCAACCAGATGGAAGGACTTATAGTTTGGGTGACATAGACCAGGCAGCCCTAGACGGGTTTGGACATGAAGTGGGGATAGAATGCAATACTGATGCAAATGGTGAAAGTCAATTGTACCAAGTTCTCATCTGTGTTGATTCTTCTGCTTCTAAGGTCATTGAGTGTCCTGGTCTTCCCAACGGACATTGCACTTCCCCTATCAAGTTCCCTTCATTCTAGTAATCGTGACACTTTTTCGAGTACCCTTTCATCTAAATATATTGTTAGATCAAATAAGGGGCTTTCATTGATCCCTCCTAAACAATGTTGTAGGGAAGGAATGTGTTATATATATCAATAATTGAATACCAAAATCTACCATTACATGAATTAGGACTTAGGAGGTTAATTGGCCTCATTAGTGTGTCCATCCTTTTACAGTTTTACTAATGGTGCATGATATTTAACCTATGATGGTTCCAAGTAGAGGTAAATCGTTTTGAAGTTGACACTCTACAAAAATGCTATCAAATCTTTTGAAAAAAAAGGATGACACCCCATCCCTGAGGGCCCCCCACCACCGACCGGACGGCACGATGGGAGGATGTAAATTGGACTATAATCACAATCTGACAGATAGAGAGTGGGGCTCTGTCCCCGGTACTTGCAGAGACCCTATGCATTTTTCAGCATAGTAACCCCTCATCGCAGTTGCCGGGATTCGAACCCGAGACCTAACCCTTGTGGCACTCCCTTGCTACCAGTTGAGCTACGCCCATCGGTCTATCAAAACTAAGGTATGGGTAAACTTTTTATAGTGACTAGCTTCACCGCTTTCACGGCCCCTTACCCCAGAAACCCAACTTTGGCTTGGCCCTACGGGTTAGTGTACACCGCTTGGCCCTACCACTTGAAGGGTTTTTTGGGGGAGCATAGTTCCACTGGTGCTAGTGGGACTCGAACACGAGACCTCTCCTATGCAAGGATAACCTCACAACCAGCTAGGCTGGAAGTGATGGTTCTATCAAATCTTTTGAGAATCAATGGCGATGAGCGGAAGTCTTGATCCCTTTAGATCTGACATTTATGTTGGTTATAGTTTGGAACCTTTAAGATTGATGAAATGTTGGATCAAACAACAATAAAATAACATGCTTTTAGACCACTCGAGAATAACATGCATGCACAACGGCGTAAACAACGAACAATTGTGGGGTGATTCATGACTGACAAGATCTCGATTTACCAAAGTGGTTTATTGGTTCATAAATGCTTTGTGTTTCTCTAAAATCTTTATTTATAAAGACTTAAAAGTCTTGCTTTGGTTCATAATATAAGGATACTACACTTAATAAGTCTCATTTTCTTCCTAAAATAAGACTCATTCACTCTTATTATGAACTTAATAAGTCATATTTTAAACATAAATATGGCTATTGTTATTTGTATCCTTTTTGTATCTTTTACTTCAATTTAAGAACAAAATAACATCAAGTGAATAACGAGAAATGAAATGTAAGGCCCTTTTAAACTCTCTCTGTCCTATTGGATTTTGTCATATTTCTTTTTTATTTCTCTAAAAGAATTTGTAACTTTACTTTTAAATCAATGAAATTGCGGTTAGGCTTATTTTTTCACTTCTGCACAAATCTCAACCATGCAATTTTTAATTTTCTTTTATTTCACTAACGTAGAAAACATTTAACAGAACGGAGGTAATACTTTATACTAAAAAAACTGTGATTATTATTCTTTTGTCTATTCAACATTTGATTATGAATACTTTTTACATACATAAATTCATTTACGCTATAGTTTATGCTTTACGGCTTTGATGACCAAGCATTTAAATTTTAAAAACATGGTTCTTTATTTTTTGAAAGGTTGTTTAATTTATTTGATAATCCATTAATCCTGATCAATGTTATTTCCTTTTCCTGTACATAAATTTCTATCTCACCGATTTTTCTTTCGATTCTACATGTCAATCAAATTTAGTCAAGTATCAAATTTAGTCAAGTATTCAGTGACGATGAAAAAAATCAATAGCCCAATTGGAGATCAAGTCTGATTTTCAAACGATTCTTTTCCTCATTCGAGCAGATAAAAAAATGAGATAATTCCCTAAATAGGAGTAAAAACGTTCTGAAATTCCAAAATAGGACTATCATATTTTTTTTATTTCCTAAATAGGAGTAAATTTCTGCCAAGTTTGGCAGATTACTCCTATTCAGGAAATAAAAAACATAAGTCCTATTTTGAAATTTCACAACGTTTTTATTCCTATTTAGGACAATTTCTGTAAAAAGATCTCAGACCAACAAAAGTATTTTTTGTGCAGAACGTGACAGCGTGTTCTTTGCTGCTATGCACACATTCAAAACTGAGGTAAACATGTATGTTCTGAATTCTAATAGTTGTATGCCAATATCATCCATCATATACATAAATTTGATTAAAAAAAGTATTTAACATCATATACACAAATTTGATCAAAAAGCAAGGTCAATCATATTTGATATTCCAAGAGCCAGACCTGCCCAAATAAATGCACTGACCCTCAGAACATATATTAAAATGCGAAAACATCATTATTACTCAAATTGCAAATGCTCTTATATTGTCTTCCAGGAGTTGAGTCACAAAACCCAACGAGAGCTTGCCCATGAAGTAATGGCCTTCTATAACTCCACCCACATATTCCTTCTATGTTCAATTCTACCTACAAGGGAGGATTAAAACCAACGCTGACATTTGCTTCCATCCTATGTACTCTTCTTCGAACACTCCAATCATGGCAAAACTCGAGTGCAAGCCGAAGAGCTGTACCAAGGCCAAGCACAACTATCACACCTGAAATACTTTTGTATTGAAACGTGAGTAATTGAATTCTCTTATACTAGTATATTTTAAAAGAAAAAGAATTCATTGCAAGAATAAATCTAAGAGTTTACCACTCTACCTATAATAATGTTCACTGGTAGTGCAGACACACCGAGAGTAAGGGATATTAGAAGATCCAATAAGAGGCCACCAATGAGGATAGAGAATGCAACCCCAAGTGGACTGAAACAGCCCTGTTACCACAAAACCGATTTAGAGACGAGTAAAATAGATGAAAGGCACACCAGTTAATGGAACTACCTTACCCTATCCTGTTGTTGTGCCATATTTGTTCCTCTAAATGAAGGATCGATCCTCCATACCAAGTAACTTGTCTGTCAAGCAGAAAAGTACGTCACTGTTAAAGACCATCTATGTCAATGAATTAAAATAACTTTTCAGTTGTTTGACTTTGTTGTTTTGTTGGATGGGGGGTTAAGAGTAATGTTCTTTGAGATAATAAAATAAGGTATTCACACAAAAAAAATGGTACTACACACATATAGCCGACTTTCCACCATTATCATTCACTATTCTGTTTAAAAAAGGGCAGCCCAATGCATATTGGACAAGGGTCCGAGGAAAGGTCAAACCACAAGGGTGTATAATGAGCAGGCTTTTCATTATCATTTTTGACAAGAGGCTGCTCCCAAAACTTGAATCTGTGACCTCTTGGTGCGCCAAGACTTGCCTTCTCCTTCAACACTTTGTTACATACATTAAAATCTTGAATGTTGTGGGTAGGTGTGTTTAAATGACCACTAAAACAAAGATAGGGTGGTAAGTATACCCATAGTCACATAGTTCGCGGAACGCTTCGGTACGGGAACGAGGAACGGGAACGCGGTTCGCTAGGTCTAGCGTATCCGATTCGGAGGGGGGTAGGTTCATTTCGGTACGCGTTCGGTACGGTGTTCCTTACCTTCAGTACGCAGTACCTTATGTTTTGGTACAAGAATAAAACATAATTACAGATTTCATAGCATTAAATAAAAACATATTTCGTAATATACTTTCATAACAATAAACAAAATAAAAAAACATTAATATTATAGAAACTATTGACTCAAAAGTAGAATGTTTGGACTTCGGTGTATAAAATAGAACATTTTAACTTACGGAGTAATTTATAAGAGTTAGAAAATCGTAGAGTTGTACAAGCCTTTTGGGTCAGAAAACTAAGAGGCTGGAACAAAAATGTACACCTGTACAAGCCTCTGGAAACGAAGCGCTCTTAGAGTTGGAAATTGTGCGTTTGAGAGGAACGACAAGTCAGAGTGCCAAAAGGGTGTCGCTGGGAAATCGCTTTGGGGAACGACTTGCAAACCATTTCCGATCGAACAGAAAAACGATTGCGATCGATTTGTACAACGATTGTTATCGATTTGAACTGCGATTAGGATCCAGTAGCCAAGCGTACCGCATCGCGTTCCCTTTAGAGACTGGATCGCTTTCGTACCGCGATTGGGTACGGAGCGATCAGTTCGCAGATCGTAGCTCTTCTAGCGATCTATGTAACTATGAGTATACCACATGACCACGATGATAAGTGTACCACATTACACCCTTGCCCATTTCAACCTATAAGTCAGTCTGAACACATATTGCACTTTTTACCCATATTGAAGTCTGATGTTAAACTACATCCATTTCAAAGTTATAGCGCCCGATCTTCTTGTTTACATCCAAATGTTGATTTTTATTTGGTTACTCTGTGATAAAAACACCTTAACACCCCAATACCCTGGCTCTTCACAAGTTCGCAATGAATGTCATATTTGGCAAATAGCAGTCCTAGAAGCCCAAACTTGGCTTGAGGTCCTGAAGGAATTCTGAACAATCATAGCGAGGCTGCTGTCTAATACTATTGAAGTGACTGACGATGTGGAGTGATTGTTGTTCTAGTGGGCTTATAGAAGATGGGTAAAAGAAAAGACATCGAAGTCCGTAGGATTTTTTGTTGACACCAAGTGATCACGACTTTGTCAGCCTTCCTTACACTCCATTGAAGTGACTGATGATGCAGGGTGATTGTTGTTCTAGTGGGCTAATAGAAGATGGGCAAAAGAAATGACACGAAAGTCCGTAGAATTATTTGTTGACACCAGGGGATCACGACTTCACCAGTGAAAAAACGTGTTGACTGACTGAGTGACTTCCAAGAACCCACTCCGAAACCTTGAGAGAAGTAATTCCAAGTCGCACAAATAATCCGCTAAGTTCCCAATGCCCATTTGACATTTGTACATTACCACGCACAAGAAAATGTTCTTAACTGATTATCGTGAGAAGGATAAAATGTGGGTTGTAAGTTTGTAACATTATACATGTACACCAAATGGGGAAAAAGTGAAATACCAGGCCACATGTGGGAATGGCCTAATATTCGCAGGACAAGAAATTGGTTTTTTCCTTGTAATAATTAGTACCTCCGTCCCATTTATATTGTCCCGGAAGAGGGTGGCACGGTTATTAAGAAAAGTGGGTTTGTGTGGTTGATATTAATTGATAAAGTAAGAATAAAGTATGAATGATTTAGAGCCACACAAACTTTGCCAAATATGGTATGGGACAATTTAAGTGGGACTTCCCGAAAAGATAAAACGAGACAATATAAATGGGATGGAGGGAGTATTTCACAAAAAACTAGGAGAAACATGAAACTTGTACCACACTTAATATTTAAACTTTCAAGCAACAAGCCTGATAGTGTGAAACTAGCATCACTCATACCAAAACATAAATGGCACTTACATCTGTGCGGGGCTCTGGGATTGCCACATTAGCTGCTACTTGACTGCATTAAAATCGCAAGCTGCATTATCATATTTGTAAAGAAGATAGAGAAGTTAAAATGCACTATCTCGTGGTGGAATCATGTCCTCACAACAAGAATGTTTGAATAACCCTTAAGGCAACCCGCATTCCTTCATCATCAATAAATCCAAATATCCACTTTGATAATACGAATACGGCATATTCACTCAGTCAACACAATTTTTCCCTACATTCCAACACCGTCAATAATATCCACTTTGCATATTTTCCCCATATCAGGTTCATCCATTATTATTTAAATAATTATAAATAATTTTTTTGTGAACAGTTATAGTATAAAAAACACCAATAGTATATATTTATGCAAATTGATATTTAACATGAGTGATATAAATGTTCTTTGTTCAAACTGTTCGATACAAGTTTTTAATAGCACAAACACTTCAAAAGAAACGTTTTGTCTTCCTTTGGGGGGCTTCTGGAATCAAGGACACAGAAAGATGTAAGCCATAGAAACAGAGATATAAAAGGCCCCCTTAACTCTTTCTCTATTGACTTACTGGCATATCTCACACTTATTGGAGCCTCTTGTATTAAACCATGTTTCTATGCATGTACGATGTGCATTTGCGAGCCCACCACGACAATGGCATCCAAGTTCTATCAAATCCTCTTCCTTCTCCTGTTGGCATACCCTGAAGAATAACACAAGAAGTAAAATATCACACTACAGTTTTCATTGATTTCAACAGTGATGGTTTGGACATTTCTCCCAAATCACAAGAAAATGCTATAAAGTAAGAGCAAGAGAGAGAGCATGAATGAAAAGTTTTAGAAAGAGGATAATTGACAAACTTCAGGATGCGAGCATGCGACTAAATAAAACTTCAGATTTTCAATAAGAAGAAAGTGCAATTTATTTTTAAACTGTCAAATGGAAATTCATATCATATTCACATCCAGTTCATGGAGCATTCCAAGCTAGGAGGACAAAAATGGTAAGATGTATAAGAAAAGTGAGAGCTGCAAAGAACACTATCTAGTATCTACAACCTTAGTAACAGTAACTCCAAATCGTAAAATAAAGATTCAACTGCTTCTTATCATATCAAAATGCCTCTTTCTCTTCAACTAATGTGTATCTCTGTGTTGCATCTACGTGCCTCGTGAGGTAGCCTAATATATAAATACACTGCTTCTACCCTAAATGTACTCAGATTCTGTGTTCACCTCGAAGGCTCCATTCTGTAAATAAATTTTCTTAATAAATTTAATCAGTAATAGTGATATATACAGAAGTGTATGATTATTGAATCAAATCAACCATGCTACTGGCAGACTGCAAATCATGCATTCTAATATAGTACTACTTCAGATAAACTGTTCATGAACTATGACAAAATCCAACCTTTGAAGCTCATTGTTTATCTATGCAATCCTAGCCAGACAGACTAGATTCGAAATATTTTGAGCAGTTCCATGATAAGATATAAAGATAATATTAAAATGGGGGGCTGTAAATTCTTATGCCTGCATTCTTCATGTGAGCTCGAATTCGTAGACAAGTGAGGCTTCTTGAGAGTCTCAGTACAACCTTTCTCTCCTAGGGTGTGAGTTATCAGGACAGGCTCTGGGGAAGAAACAGATTCCTGTTTATTGACAGAACCATCTGCAGCAATTACTATAGTAAGCAGGGATTTATCTGCACTTTCATTGACATGGGCATGCTTTTCCGTGTCTAAACACTGACTGCCGTCAGCCGCGGATATTCCGTCTGTAGTATAACCCTCAGCGGCGGCGGCGACCCCTCCGCTCACTGCATAACCACCACCGCTCATCTAATAGGGCCAAACCAACTGCCGCAAAAGCCCCCACTACTCCCAACTTCCTATAGGATAAACACTGAGATGAATTCCCTCAATTGTGATGGTCTCTCGCCGGTGAAAACTAATCTGAAGCAAACAAGAAAAATAATCGCAATTTAGCTCAGAAACAGCACAACCATAAAAGGAAATTCTTGTAAATCAACTCGAACCTCGCAAGAAATCTGAAGGGGAAGGATATGAGTGTAATCATCTTCATATTCCTTTTTGTAATTTTCGCGAACAGATAGTTAGAATAATGTACGTAGTAAATTTGGAAATTACTTGTTGGATATTCTGCCCAAAAATATACTCCGGTTATTCTGGCGACGCAAGTAAGGTTACCGCCCTCCGGTTATTCCGCCAAACTTTCCTCAACTTTGAACTTTCTTGATGTAGAAAGGATTTGGCAACTCAGCACTTCAACGATTTTTTTGAATGGCAATATAGGGTACAATTGAATGCTTTAGCAGATGTGATTTAAAAAATGAGACAAACTTTTCTGTATTATAATTAATCATGTTGATACTTTCTATAAACAAATTTAATTTCCAAAAAAATGGAAAATGATTATTTTTTTTTGTATAATTTAGAAATTTTAACAAAGTACTTACATACTCAACCATGCTATTAAAAAAGTGATTTCCAAATTGTAAAGTTAGTTCTTGGAGGAAGTTTGGCGCATGATTAATTATAACACAAAGATGTTTGACGCATTTTTTAAATCACAGGGAGCTAATGCGTCGAATTTATATTTCACGAGAGGGTTTGATGTATTAAACCTAAATATATGCTACCTGTCCAAAACAACCAAGTTTCTAAAACATAAAATGTATCAAAAAATGATGAAAACCTATCGATTAGAATCTCAATGATTGAAAACTATCAATATAATCTTATGTTGGCATGAACTTTATTATTATTTTTTATTTAAACATTTTAAATATTATTTTTAGTTTTATTAAATCAACAAACTTTTGTGAAAAAAAAGTTTATTAAAAAAAGAAACGGAATTAATATAAAATTAAATAAATTAAAACCTATGAAATGTTAGATTCTGGGTCGATAGTTTGCATCATTCGAGTCTTATATCGATACATTTCATTTTTTGTGTCCTGAATTGATAATTCATCTATCTTTGAGATCTTGAATTGATAAAAAGATTGATTTTAGCACATAAAAAGTCTATAAAATAAATCAAACTATAAAACTTCAACACATACAAGATTGACTTTAGCAACAGTCCACCCCTCATGTCTCAAAAAGCAGAACTGGGTACCTTCGTGCATTAGATTTTTGAAGCTGCACTAGGTTGTTGGTTAGGGCTTTAGAGCCACACTAAGACATCGATGTTTTTATTATTGTTTATCTTCTTTAGTGAGAGAGCAATGGAGAGATGGAGGGCAACACAATAGGTGAGATGCAAACCTTGACCGACAGGAATAAGGACATATGTAGTCTAAACATGATGAACGGCGATGCAAGGGACAGAAAGAGAACGGAGAAGGGAAGGGATGACGAAATGGACAAGGTTAACGAAGTATTGGCGGGCCGCGCCCATGCTGAACCACTGCACTGGAGCAACCGCGGAAATAAGGATCGGAGGCCGACATTTCACGGTTGAATTTGGTCACATGCGCTCTTGTGCTCTGTTTTTCGTTTAAGTTTAAGTTTTTGTTATGTCATGCATTTTTATTCGGTTAATAATTGTTAATTGTGGGTACTTTTTGCTGTGAGAATGGGTGGAAGCAATCAAACTAATCTAGTTGTTAATAGCTTCGAAGCCCTCGCATGTTGAGGGACTAGTCTCGCACATCTTTGGATGGTCTATTCTATGCATGATTATGGAGTAAATGGGTCTATTGGTATATCCAAAGTCTATTCTATGCCTGATTATGGAGTAATGGGTCTATTGGTATATGGAGTCTAGAAAGAAGACTTGATTTATTGATGATGTTGAAAAGTTTGATTCTGTGAATTTAATATAAACCTTTTTATTTCAAAAAATAATCAAACTCCTAGTTTTATTTTGTCAGGATACAACAACAACATCCAAGCCTTAGTCCCAAACGATATTGAGGTCGGCTAATATGAATCGATATATGATATCACCAAAAGGAAAATGACGAAAATAAAGATAAAAAAGATAAGCTATTATAAAAAAATAATATAAAAGAGATGAATATACATATAAAAGATCAAATAAAAAGGATAAAGTAATATTTATATATAAGGATAAAAATATAAAAAATAAATAAATAAATAAATAAAATATGTAATAACTTTTTTATTGACTTGTGTCTTTCCTAAAAAGTACTCATATAATAGAGAGTACTACGGAGTATCGATTAAAACAAATTCTAGTTGTACTTGAAGTTTGTATAGATCTAGTACACATTTATACTTAATTCTTTGTGCATACATACAATATGTACGCCCTCAATTGCTAGTTTAGACAGGCGATTTATTTGACTATTATCTGTGTACATAGACTATTACGTACAAATATATGTTACATATGTATAAATTTTGTGTATACTACGAATGGTTGATTGATAAAATACGAGAGTACTACATTTGTTCTATTAAACATTGTCACTATGAGTCACGCAAGAAACTAAAAGAACAAAACTTATTTGATTGAAACTTGTAAAGAGAAAAGAAATAAACAGTCATAATTCCATACTTTAATAATGATAAATAGATAAAAAAAAAGAACTAGTATAAATAATATAAAAGGAAATTGACAAAGCCTAATTGAACAGTAGGATACTTTTGTGGAAGGATAAAAGAGTATTTTGTCATCAAATATTTTCAAAAATAGAATTAAAAACTTGATTGTGGAACTTATGAAACCCCACTGAATCACTGAAGAGTTGTTCATCATATAAAATTTTCTTTTTCTAATCTAAATAAAATACATGTGACATAGATAGTGTAACTTCATTCAGAAGTTCACCAATTTCAGTAATTTGATAGTTTTTTGCTTTACCAAATAGGCCACAAATATCTCGGCTAGTAATAGATGCGCAATATATGCATGTTTGCTATGCCATAGAGACTCTCTACCTTATAATTTTTGTACTGCTTGAAAAATCTCTAAAATTTATAGTTATACGTTTGTAGTATTAATCAGTTATGTACCAATTACTAAATGGAACTAAATCAAATAGTCAGTCACTAAGGTCCTGTTTGGTTGGAGGGTTTTGGAGGGGAAGAGAGGGAAGTGAGTGATTTATGTGTGTTTGGTTGAAAGAAATAAGGGGGAAGGGGAGGAAAGTGGAAGACTTCCAAAATCTTCCACTTCCTCCCATTCTAAACCCCTCAGATTGGGGTATTTCGGAGAAAATGTGTTGATAACCACAAACAATCCATCTTCTATGTGAATGGACAAAGCATTATAATATAAAAAAAAAGTAAAAAATCAATAAATAGATAAAAAATATGACTCGCGACCTTAGGAGTAATATTTACAATAGTTAAAAATGTATCTATTTTTTTAAGTAAGCTATCAAGTAAATGTACATTGGGAAAATATTTTCTTTAATGCTTTCCTCCTATACCGTCCAACCAAACACAAATTTTTATCAAAATTCTTCTTTTCCCTTCCCTTTCCTTCCCTTCTTGATACTCCCCTTCCTTCCCTTCCTTTGAACCAAACAAGGCCTAAAAGTTACTCTTTCCATCCGCTAAAATTTTCTATCTTTCCTTTTCAGTTTGTCTCACTACGATTGTTTCATATCAAGTTTGATAAAACTTGTTTGGTTCTAAAACATTCTCACTTTATTATTACTTTATCAATTCAAAATTAACCATGTGAGATCATTCTTCTTAATAACCGCAACCTCTTTATGTCACAATGTTAGTGAGACAAAAATAGCACTAAAAATGAAGTACTTACAAAACCATTTTTTTAATTGATTGTGTCAAAACATACCTTATACCGCAATCCCCTCTTTATCTTGTTTTACCAAATTGGAGAGTGAATGTGTTTGACATTTAGCGGTTAACGAATAGCTAACCATATTGGTGGATTATCAATAGCTGATTCAGCCAGTGAATTTAACTAGTGAAATGAGTTAGCGAATTATCTGAAGATGTTTGATAGTCTAGGTGTTGGTCGTACAATTAGTAAAAAAAATGATAGGTAGAACGTTTATCCAAAAGCTTGTATTTGTAGCGTTTTTAATTGATCTATTTAGTTCAAAGAGCTTGTGGCCTAATGACTATTATCAAATAATAGTCTAGGGTGAAACCTCATTTTTTTTAGTTGAAATGCGTTTTGACAATGGACATTTTTTTTCTTCCAAAAAAAAACAATGGACATTTTTTAGTGAATGGACTAGTAGTAGAAAACTGTGTCCAAATGACCTAAACGGAGGCCCGTGGTCGGCAGTTCCCCTGGTCTCGCTTGATTCTAGGTTAGGATCAACCAAATTGTAAGTTTGATTTGGTATGCAGCAGCTCAATTGACTGATTGAATTCGCGGAAGGGAAGAAGAGAGGGCAAGAACAAAATCGACCGAGTTATATAGGGTTGCGGAGTGTCGGTTCACAGAAAGAACACAGCCGCTGCGACGTGGCGGAGGAAATGTGGTGGCACGGTGGTGGAAATGGAGGCGTAATTAAAACATTCGTCAGATATATGTCGAACTCAAGAAAGAGGGCACCCAATCTGAGGAAGATCAATCCGAAAGTATCCCAGCAAGAGGCTGCCTCCATTGCTGAAGATCTATACAATGTCATAAGACAACACGGCCCGCTCAGTGTTTCCAACACTTGGAACCACGCCAAGGTGCATCCTTTTTTCATTCTCCTTTTTTTCTTCTCCTTATATCACCGTTTTATATCAGACATCTGTATATACTATATATGTAGTAATCCCAGTATATTCAATAAATTAGGAATAATTCTTGATCACTTGAACTTGGATTACCATGACATTCATGCGAAAAATGGTTGATTTGTTTCGCTCCCCTTTGCTAACCATAGCCCTTGAGAGTTGAAACTTTCAAGTTAGTAGAAGAATATTCTTTATGATTTTCTTAGACTAACTAAATCACACTGTAAATATTTATCTAAGAACACCATTAGTCAATTAAATGAATGTTTTTTGCAAACTACGGAGTATATAATACTATCTTATTCTATATCATTAATGCTCAAACATTGCTCCAAGCTATATCATTTCAATTTCTTAATAAGGATTATGATAATGAAATAATATTATGGAGTAATACAATAAGATTAGCTATATACTTTTATGGACTTATTACCTAAGACATTGTTTGGTATCATTTTCCGTTTTTAATTACTAAAACAAAATTTTAAAACTCAAAAAGTTTTTTTTAATAGATTTGGCAGGCAGTTTCCATTTTCAAAGATAACATGTTACTAATCAGCTCATTATACAACATAT